CGGAGGTTAGTGATTGTCTCCGGCTCCGATCGTGGTGCCTGTGAGGGGTTCTTGACCTTTCCCCGACGGAGAGCCAAAAGATACTTTAGTAAATTGCTCGTGGCTTGTGTGATTCTCATCTTGTGTTGGTTGTGCGGCACCCTATTGAGGGTTTAGCGTGTGATGCCAATTAGCGCGTAAACCTCTAAGTGAGTGTATCGCCACAACGATGACTAGCTTGCCGACAAGCAAGTGAACCTCGATAAAAAATTATTGTGTCATTATTTGATTCCGAGGTGATTGGTCTACATTGGTATCCATTCTTGTGATTGATTGGTTCATTCCTCGACTCGACGGTATAACCATCTTGCTCTTTCTCTTTACATTACCGCAAACTAGTTGTCAAGCTCTTTAGTGTAGCTAGTCGTGAGAGCTTGTTAGTTTGGTTAGTGTGGCTCTTTAGTTATCCTTTGAGAGCACACTAATTTAGTGTAGTGACATAGCCATTGTGTGGATAGAGACTATAGATACTAGAATTGTGGTAGATGGCTTGAAATTTTAGTAGACTAGTGCAACACTTGCTTCACCTCATAATTGTTTAACCGGTTTGCTAAGCGTTGTTGTAGAAATTTTAATAGGCTATTCACCCCCCTCTAGCCATTAAGACCTTCCACGGAGTACCTCCAAGTGTGGGAGGCGGTCAGTGACACAGGGCTATAACGATCACTAGCGATAAGCTTGTCTAGCGTCGGACCACGGACGACGTGTACTCAAGCTTAGCTTACACGACGTTGCACCAGGGATCTATGCCTAGGCTACAACTTGATCTGGGCGACCTTGGCACCCCTCCGCGTGAAGATTTTCCCCAGCTTGCCGTCCGACACAGGCATTGGACGGCTGCCCGTCAACGGCTAAACACCAACGAACACGGCTACCTCTGCGACCAGGAGCAGGAATCCATTGACCACATAATAGTGTTTTGTTCCTTCGTTAAGCAAATCTAGTTGAGCGCATTGGTCGCCCTCGGCAAAATGCTGCCTTCAACCACAGGGTGCCACTCCATCAACGACGGGTGAAAGCGTGTTCGAAGTTGCTAGACCAAAGCTCACAGGCGTGACGTCAACACTCTTCGCGCTGGTAGGTTGAGAGATTTAGGAGTAGAACGCCGGTTGCTTCCGCGGTATAGCAACTTCTGTGACGCTAGACACGATGAAGCACGAAGTCGACCAATGGGTCGAGGCCGGTGCCAAGAATCTCGGTTGCCTAGTTATGGAGTAATAGCACATTATAGCCAATCTTGTGCCATGGTTAGGAGCGCTAAAACTCCTAGTTGCTGAGGGCGCTCCAAAGTGTTTACATATAACTCTTCTACCTTAAGGCCCTGTTTCGCTTCTCTTATAATCCGTATTTTTTAGCTTTTTTTTTTAAGTCGGAACAATGTTTTCTCTCACAACAAATTAGTCGGAAGAGTGTTTCGGATTGTTTTTTCAGCGAAGCGAACATGGCCTAAATCTACAATCTACCATTATTATTACTCTTTTTATATATTATTATTATTCCTCCTATATACACTCCATTTACGGATCCCTCAGCGAGCCACGTCATCAGTTTTCCCTGGACGTCCGATTCTGCACCAATGGCATCAGATCAGAATCTCCGGCACCTTCCACGCCCTCCGCGGCCGCGCGTGAAGCAGACCCGACCCCCTCCGCTTCTCCTTCGCTCTCTCCCTTTACGCCTCACTCGGCCTCCACCGGGCCACAGGCGTCCCGGCGCCGCTCCCCGCCGAGGGCAAGCTGCCCGGCACCGTCCGCCCCTCCCCCTCCTCCCCTCGACGTTGCGACGCTGCCGGCCGCCGCTTCGCCCTCGCCGGCTCGGATTCGCGCCGTCCTCCGCGTCTCACAGCGTCGTGCGTTCCACCCTTCCCTCTTCTCGGTGCTGGCGGCCGGACGCTCTGTCACGCCAGCACGGGAGCGCCGCCACGGCCAAACCCTACTGGCGCAGCCCTGGTGCCGGTGTGCGCGAGGCCTCCGGCCACAGTAGATCCAGGTACCGGCGTCCCTCCCTTGCTCGGACCTCCATGTCCACGCCCTCAGCTCGCCCTCACCTCCTGTCCCTCACCCGCATCATCGAGGCCAGTCCCCCAGGCACGCTGCTTCCTCCAGCGAAATCGCCTTGCGTCGTCTTCCCCTCCATACGCGCTGTGCCGAGGCCCATCGTCATGCCCTCTGCATCCAACATCGTCACGTTCAGTGTATGACGCGATTAGCGAGTAAGTTTGGATGTTCCTACTTCATGATAGTTGTCGGTGATTTGCCTCTACAACATTTTTTTTACTAACTAAATAACCGTGCCCAGGTTTCTGCAGGAAGAACGATGGAGATGGACATATCTACAGTTGAACTTTTCTGTGTTCTTCGCTATGTTGATCAACAAAAGAATGGTACTGTATCTGACTTCGATCAAAAGATGACACAGGCATATAATGAGATAAGTGACAAATAAAAAAAACATGGTCAACATCTACTCAATGGAGCACTTATTCATGCAGGTAACAGCTGTGTACTGATGTGATATTTTGTTTGATTAGTGCCTCTTTCCATCCATTCTAAATTTGTAATGTTGCTTTCAGTTCTTATCTTTCTAATATTTTTGATTCCTTAACCATTGTAGCTGCTGCAATTGATCCTCCAGAATTGTACAGGTCAAGCCTTCCAAAAAAGTCAATTTCCCAATCAAGAAGGTTGCAAAGTCAGCTTCAGAAACATCAGGTGCGATTGATCAATTTTCTTGGTTCATTCAACTGAGAGGGTTATTTGTTGATCTAGAAGCTCGATGCTCAGCACTAAATGGCAAAACCAGCACAGGTATTGATCTGTTGTTACTCCTGTCAGTGTGCAGCTAATGTCTCTGAAATAAATTGCCTGATAGTGATCATGTCCTTTGTAAGTTGCTGCAACTTAACTTTTTTAAAATTAATCGCAGCTAACTGATGGGGTTCTTTATGGAGGACGGTGTCCTGAATGTTGTCGACTTATTACATCTGTTGCAAAAGGTTATAACGAATTCATGTTCCTTCCCATATATTTTTCGTTTTATTTGTTATATATAAATCGTGAAATTTTGTCGCCTTAAAAGAACCATGATGTCCTTTTTGGTTCTGGTATCTGGGATCAACCGCCTACCAAGAATGCGTGCTAGCGCAAGCTGGGTTCCTTCTTGGATGCCAGATTCTGCTACAGGTTCCTGTCTACCAAATAAAGGTACCTGAAACTTACCTGTTTAAGAGCATTCCCCTATGAGAAACGCACTCCTGATGGTTGCAATTGCTACAGGCCAGATGCGCTCACAGGTTTGTAAATGAAGGTGCTAAAAACACATCTGACCTTTGTCTTATGTTATCCTGCTGTATATGAAATAGTAGGATGCTTGATTACGCCACTTTTGTGGGTTCCAATGTGTTTACACCAGAGATTATGAACAACTATGTATGCTCTAGCTCTACCTGTCGGATCAGGTTTAGGTAGTTTATCTTACTGATTTACTTTCTACATATTTTGCCTGTGTCAGAGATTATAGACAGCTATGTATGCTTCACCTCTATCTGTGGGATCGGGTTAGGTTACCGATTTACTTCCGAGAGATTTTGCCTGTGTCAAATCCATCTATTCTACAGAATGCTTGAAAATTTTGGAAACTATTCCATGTCCACTGTTTATATTAGTACAAAATACAATTTTAAGTGATCCAATTACAATACATACTTTCATATCAACATCTTTATTTCTGCCGACAACTATATTTCATTGCACATATATATGTATCAGATTATGCTTTCTTCCTTTCTGTGTACATGCCATGGTGCATAGCTCCCTTTGTGCTTTGTAGCCAACACTAACTCCTGTTGTATTGCTTTCATGCCTACATCCTGCAGCATGCTCAATGCAATACAATTATTATTTTATACCTTTGTTCAATGGACATCCAATCAAATAAGGACTCCCCTATAATTGACCTGCAGGAAGTCAGGAGAATGAATTTACTTTAGGATTGCCAAATATTTGTTCTCATGTCCAAGGTCTTTTGTTTTGTCAGCATACTTTGTGCCAGTCAGTTCAGGTAACCAGCAGCCAGTACACAAGATGGCCTTCCAGCTGATTAAGAAAGCTTATACTATGTTTCTCCAGTACGATAAACACTACAGAAAGCAATTTTAGAGTAGAGAGATGTGAACAAAAGTCCATTAATTTCTACACTCTGTCTCTCATCATGCAGAGCAAAAGCCTACCTACGTGCAAGGAAGTCCTCCATTTCTGAATATGCTTTCACGTATAGAGCTGATAGATTCCGAGGAAAATCATGTTTAAGTTCCAGGCGAATTTTCTCTCTATAGAGCTGATATATTTCCTATTATTGTGCACATGAGCAAAATCATCTTTTGCCTTTTTTTTCTAGGTGGCTTCAGTTTCTCAGATGTTTTGCTTAGAATATGTTACAGACACCTAAACAAAGCCAACAATTCAAGATTTCTTCCCCTTTCGGAACAATCGCTTTGTATTTTATTAAGAAAAGATCGTACAGTTTGATTTAATCCCCAGGCGCCAGTAGTCAAGAATTCTAATATATATAATTATTCTACTGTTTTTAATCAGCACACTGGCCCGCGCAACTGCGCGGGGGTTCCCGCTAGTATAAAGGATGAACAAGTTTTTTTTTGCTAATAATAATAATAATATTAATATAATAATAACTTTTATAATATAATAGTACTTCATGAGTAGTGGAAGTATGGCCGGATCAAAGGTTGTTCAAACGATTGTTGTAAAAAAAAAAGGTGGTTCAATCGAACCGGATCGGCTCAGCAATTCCCAACACCGGGCCCAATTTCCAGTCCTTTTGAGCTTCTGACTACACTACCTGGCCCTGGATCCGCCTCCCATCTCTGACCTCGCCGCCGCCGCCCATCTCTATCAGGCCTGGCGTCCAGCAATGCCCGCCGCCACGCCATAGCTCACCGCGCAATGCCCTCGCCCACGCCCACGCCCACGGCGCTGCCCCGTCTCCACGCCGCCATCTCCGCCGCCGCATCCTCGCCCACTAACCTCCGCCGCCTCTCCCACCTCCTCTCCCCCTCGGCGCCTCTGCCCTCCATCCGGTGTCTCAACACCCTCCTCATGGCACTCGCCCGCCACGGCATGCTATCGGACATGGAGTCGCTCGCCGCCCGCAACCTCCACACCTACACCACCCTCATCAACGCCTATTGCCTCGCCGGCGACCTGTCCTCGCTCCTGCGCGCCGGCCTCGCGCCGGAGTCCCACGCCTACACGTCCTTCGTCCTCGGGTACTGCCGCATGGGACCGCTCGCGCACGCCTGCGGATTGTTCTTGCTAATGCCGCTGCGGGGGTGCGCGCGCACCCCTTTCACATACGCGGCCCTGCTCCAGGGGCTATGTGGCACTGGGATGGTCTTGCGCGAGGCGATGGCGGTTTTCGCTGGGATGCGGCCTGATGGTCTCTATATCATCTACTCCAAATCTCTACGTAGAAATCCTGCCTCCAAAAGCCGGCAAACCATCGTGCCACGTCGCCGCAAACCCGTTAACCGTTGGATCAGGCGAGCACGCGATCTCGTCCGTCCGATTGCGGATCGGTCGGGTCCCTCGCCCGCTTTATCGTCGACCCGAGCCATCGCGAACCTTCGTCGCGGGCCGATTCTTTGGCCGCTCCCCTCGCCCTCGACTCCCGCACCTCCCTCCTCCTCCCGGCGCGGGTGGGGCCCCAGCGGCCCCGGCGACCCCCGCGCACGTCGCTCCGGCTGCCGACGCACCCGCAGCGGTGCTAGCGTACGTTCTGTCCTCCGCGCCGGCGGAAGCCGCGGCCTCCGCACTGGCGAGCCGCGCAGCTGTGGCCGTGGACTACCAGCACGGGCACCGCGTCACGGGTGCGCCCTCGACGACGTGAGCGCGGTCCACCGTTGGAGCGGTGCGGGGGCGAGCCGAGCTTTTCTTCGCAGCACGTGACGCCGTTGCGGGGATCAAGCGCCCCCGCTCCTCCTTAGCGCCCGCTTGGCAGCACCACCACGCGCCGCGAGCTGCCGATAACGGCAATCCAGGTGAAGCCACGGAAAGGGGCGTGCAGGCTGGCCGGCTGGCCATGCCCGGCGGCCCCCAAGCCGAAGGGGACGGCAGCAACGGCATCCCGTCCACCTAAATTGGCGTTCACTGCCCCGGCAGCACTCACCAACGCTGGACCGGATGTGACATCAATAGCGCACAGGTGGTGTTCGACGGAATGCCCATGAGGCAATGAGGTAAACAGCCATGAATCGATGCTTATCCGGGCTGTGTTTGAGACCTTCTTTTGCAGTACTGCTTCTAGCCAGTCCTCTTTGATATTCACTGTGATGCTTGTGCCTGTCTCATGTATTGTTAATTTGAAGATGTCTAAAACAAACTGATCTTGCAAAGCAGAAACATAAGCTTTGAGGATGAGCAGTCTTAAGTTATTGTTGACTTTTCATCCCTAAGACATTGTTTTAGAATTAGAATGAGATGGAAATTCATATTTGCTTCATATTTTTTGTTACCAAGCCCAGCTGTTTGTGAAATTCTTTTGCATGCACATAGCCTCTTACCAAAATATTACAGAAATCAATAGGATTAGATATGGCAAGATGCCAACACATGTTTCCTTCAGCTATCATAGATTTTTTTTACTGATAAAATACATGCTTGATGACTGCTTGTCTAAAATTTGTGAAATTAAGATGGAATTCCTATTTGTTTAATATTCTTTGTTTGCAAGCCCAGCTGCTGTGAAGTTCTTTTAGATGCACAAAGCGCAGATGTTGAGGAGATAGTCGTATGGTGTAGGAGTCACTACACGCAGTAGTTGTATGCCTTCAATCAGTGGGTGCTTCAATCATGATCGTGCATTAGCAATGTCTTGTAGTACTGTATGTATGTATAGCTTCAGTCAATGAGGACAATGTGGTACTATTTAGCAGTGCCATGTAGTAGATTGTATGGCTTCAGTCAAGGACCTATATCAGTAATTCAGTATGCTATGGAATGGATGCTTATGTTGCCTGCGACACAAGCATTCATTACCTCCTAGACAGTCTCCCCATTCTTAGGCAGTCAAGTTTAATGCATCACCCTTCAAGTACTCTAGCTCTTCATCATTCATTAAAGGTTATACAAGATATTTTTGTGCTGTGCCACTGAAAGAAACTTAGTGATGCATACTTATGCATGGCCTCAGTTTTTATGACAATATCTGTGAGATATGCTTAGTTTCAGAAAATATTGTTCTCTTATAAAACTATGATCTTACAAAACTTTTATATGACCATCAGCACTTAAATTTATTGATGCATTGCTATATTGAATTGTATCCCATAGATGGAGTTGCTACTGGGCACATTTGGAACTCAACTCATCTTTATTTGAAACCTTCTAATTTTCTAAACCAACAAGTGAAAAATATAAAAGGTAAATAAGTAATAAAAAAGCATCTCTGGCTAGACCAGGTTATAGCTTAAGCTCCACCATCACTTTCGGTTCCACATGATATTAGCAAAGTTCCCTTCCACATGAGACAAATGTATCACGCTTATCCTATTCTCCAATCTTCATAGTTCTGATTGAGTAAACCTAAAGTATACTGCCCATAATTGAAACTCAGTATAGGCATACAGCCAAAAAAAACATATTCTGATTGTTTTCCCTGTTACACACTTGCAACGACTATTCAACAAGCAGGAACATGGAAATAGAAGACAGACTTGGAACAGAAGGGTTATATAGCTATTGCATGCTGCAGTCATTATATATAGGAGTTCTAGCACCTTTGTGTATCTCCATGTGGGGCCCGTGGTGTCCGTCGTATATACTGCAATATACACAAAATCAGATCAATGAGATGTTGACATGTCTTCTTTGGTTATCACGAGTTCTTCTGAATCGCTATACTATCTAGGCCTACCACGTATTCTGAACTTCCTTTTCTCTATTCAAGTTGATATAGCCATTATCCTTTCTTGAGAATGATTTCCTCAACCAGGCTATACACAATGTGTATGGAATCCGGTCCTGTTCGCCTGCAGCGGCTGGCTGAAGTATCGCAGGCTGGTGCTGGCCCGACACAGGATCATCCGCGCGGCAATGCCGCGCATGATTTCTAGTATGTACTTAAATCCAAGATCACACAATTGAGCCACAGATAGTAAGTTAAAGTTTAAGCTCTTTACTATAAACATATTTGATATGCTCAAGTCATTGGATATTATAATCTTACCGAGCCTCTTGGCCTTGCCTTTGCCATTGTCATCAAATGTGATATTATCATGACCATCATTGCCATTGGTATTGATTGAGTTAAACATTCTTGCATCATCGGTCATGTGTTGAGTGCACCCACTATCAAGAACTCAATGCATTCCTTCGACTTTTATAATTGACCTACAAAAGAAAATCAATTCTTTTTAGTTACTCAAACTTGCTTGGGTCCTTGAAGGTTAGGGAATAAGCTTTTTGGCACCCAAATGGATTTCTTCTTTAAGCCCACAATTGGAGTACCAACAAACTTAATGGATGATACATTAGTGTTCTTGTTCTTGTAATATTGCTCTACATGCTCAACTTGCTTGCATCCATTGCAAAACCGACCATTGCTCTTCACAAAACGAGTCTTGTGAATGACAAAGGCCGCTTTGTCTTTCTTGAGGGTATAGCCCAATCCATCTTTGTTGAGAGAAATTTTTTGGCTACCCAAACACTTTAGCAAGTGGGTCTCACCATCATAGGCATTACCTAAGGCGCGAGTGAGCTCGTTTACCTCCTTCTTGAGGATTTCATTCTCAACCATTAGTGAGGTATCACAAGTGAAACCATCACTACTAGATGAGGTGGAAGTAGAAGTGGAAGTGAAAGTGCTACAAAAGGAATTAGTGGGAGCAACAACAATAGGCTTATAGAATGATTCATCAATTATGTCACATGTTAAGTCTTTGTCACATTTATCAATTACTTTTTCATTTTGCTCAACAAAAGCGGAATGAGCTTTCTCAAGTTTAGTGTGAGTCTTGCCAAGCTCAAGCTAAAGGGGCCATGCGGTGGGTGATTGAGGCCTTGTTTAGTTCCTCCCCTAAAGTTTATTTCATATCCCATCGAATATTTGGACACATGTATGGAATATTAAATATAGACTAAAAAATAACTAATTGCATAGTTTATGACTATTTTATGAGACGAATCTTTTAAACCTAATTAGTCTATGATTTGATAATGTTGTGCTATAGTAACACATATGCTAATGCCGGATTAATTAGGCTTAATAAATTCATCTCGCGGATTACTAACGAATTCTATAATTTATTTTTTTATTAATATTCAAACACCATATGCGACATCTCTATGTGACACCTGATCTAACGTCCCAAAATTTTATACATGATTTAAACAAGGCCTGAGAAGGCCATGGCGAGGTCGCTGGTGGCGACGCATGCCGGAGGTGCGAGTAGGGGCAGGGGCAGGGGCAGTAGGAGCAAAGGCGCGGCGCCGGCAACACGCAGCAGCAGTCTGGAATGGCAGCGGTGGGGAGGATATGGCGCCCATTCGAGAAGCAGTAACTGCACCCATGAAGCTAGGTCGGATGCGTGTATACTGCTATCATCCACCTAATAACCGGAACTAGCGTACTCGCTCTCCGATAGATGCTTGCCCCTGGACCTGCAGGTCACCGTTTGAGGGTATTACTTTCTTCTCAATAAAAAAAGGTCAGTGAAATTCATTTGAATGGAGTTTTATAATATTTTATTCGGAGTGCCGCTTAACTACTTCAGATATGGTATTTGATTATTTGATTCCAATGAGTAATTTTATGTTAGATGCCGCACATATACACCACATTAGCTTTCATATATCTATATTTAATCCTCAATTGTGCACTAAGTTTTTCTTTCTACCTTGCCAACGTATGAACAAATGGTTCATGTGATTTAAAACTGCCCAATAAAATCCACTTTGATTCTGCTTAAATTTCTTGATCCAATTGAACCATCGCCGCAAACTCATGCGGAAGACGTACGATACTATAAATCTCCGCAGCAACGCAGGGGTATAGCGTAAACAAACTCTTCTACCTTAGACATAATAACTTTTATAATGCTACATGAGTAGTGGAAGTACTCTGGCCGGATCACGGTTGTTCAAACGAACCGGTTTCCTGCAAGCGTCCGATCGAACCGGGATCGGCTCAGCAATTCCCAACGCCGGGCCCAATTTCTAGTCTTCTGAGTTTCTGACTACACTACCCTGGCCCTGGATCCGCCTCCGGTCTCTGACCTCGCCGCCGCCGCCGCTCATCTCCATCAGGCCCGGCATCCAGCAATGCCCGCCGCCACGCCATAGGTCACCGCGCGATGCCCTCGCCCGCGCCCACGGCGCTGCCCCGTCTCCTCGCCGCCATCTCCGCCGCCGCCTCCTCGCCCGCCGACCTCCGCCGCCTCTCCCACCTCCTCCTCTCCCCCTCCGCGCCTCTGCCCCCCATCCGGTGCCTCAACACCCTACTCATGGCGCTCGCCCGCCAAGGCTTGCTCTCGGACATGGAGTCGCTAGCCGCCCGCATGCCCGCCCGCAACCTCCACACCTACACCACCCTCATCAACGCCTATTGCCTCGCCGGCGACCTCCCCGCCGCCAAGCGCCACCTGTCCTCGCTCCTGCGCGCCGGCCTCGCGCCGGACTCCCACGCCTACACGTCCTTCGTCCTCGGGTACTGCCGCACGGGGCTGCTCGCGCACGCCTGCCGATTGTTCTTGCTAATGCCACTGCGGGGGTGCGCGCGCACCCCGTTCACGTACGCGGCCCTGCTCCAGGGACTATGTGGCGCTGGGATGGTGCGCGAGGCGATGGCGGTTTTCGCTGGGATGCGGCCTGATGGCTGTGCCCCTGATTCGCATGTCTACAGCACAATGGTGCACGGGTTATGTGGGGCAGGACGAGCCGGAGAGGCGGTTGCGCTGCTCACAGAGGCAATGGAGAAGGGATTTGTGCCGAATGTTGCTGTATACAATGCTTTGATCGATGGCTACTGCAGTACTGGGGACTTGGAGCTCGCAGTTGACGTCTTCAAGGGGATGCAGAGTAAAGGGTGCTTGCCGAACGTCCGCAGTTATACTGAGCTGATATGTGGGTTTTGCAAGTCGGGGAAAGTAGAGAGGGCCATGGTACTATACAGTCGGATGGTTGAGGAAGGTTTAGCTCCAAATGTGGTGACATACACAACCTTAATTCAGGGGCAGTGCAACGAGGGGCACTTGGGACATGCTTTTAGGCTGCTTCATTCAATGGAGGCTAGTGGACTGGTCCCTAACGAGTGGACTTGCTTAGTGCTGATTGATGCTTTGTGCAAACGTGGGAGAATTGAGGAAGCTCAGCAGTTTCTCGGGTCTCTTGTTCAGAAGGGAATTAAGGTGAATCAGGTTGTCTACACCAGTATGATAGATGCATTGTGCAAGGCGGGAAACTTTGATGATGCTCATAATCTGATGCAGAAAATGGTCACAGATGGGTTTGTGCCAGACGCCCACACATACAGTTCGCTTATTGATGGACTATGCAGGGAAAATAAGCTGTCGGAAGCAATATCACTGTTGGATGATATGATTGAGAATGGAGTACAAGCCAATGCCGTACCATTTACCATTCTAATTGATAAGCATGTCAGGAAGTTTGGGTCTGATTCCTCCAAAATGATATCTGATAGGATGGCTGTGGCAGGTGTTAAGCCTGACGTTGTCACTTATACAGTTTTTATACGCTCCTATTGTCAAGAGGGAAGGATGGAAGATGCTGAATCCATGATGGTTCAGATGATCGATCATGGTGTTCGCCCTAATTTAGCCACATATAACACATTGATTAAAGGATATGCAAATCTTGGACTAATCAGTCAAGCATTTTCATCTTTTAAGAACATGGTTGATAATGGATGCAAGCCAAATGACGAGTCTTATACAGTTCTCCTTGGACTGCTACTAAAGAAAAATTCCTACCATGACTTAGTTTCCAATTCTATTAATGTATGGAAAACAGTTGACATGAAAGTTCTCAAGGAACTTTTGGAGGAGGTGATTAAGCTTCAGTGCACCTCATCCAGCTATATTTATGATTGTTTTATTAGGTGTTTGTGCAAAGTTGATAGATTGGAGGAAGCAAAAAGTTTTCTCGTAGGGATGCAGAGTTCTAACTTGACCCCAAGTGAGGATGTATATACTTGTATGATAGAATGTTGCTACAGAATGAAATTGCTAAAAGAAGCTTTAAGGTTTCTTGATTCAATGGTGGAAAGAGGCTATTTACCACGTTTAGAATCTTATAGGTTTATTATTTGTGCTCTTTGTGAGGAGGGAAGCTTTCATACTGCTAAAAGCATTTTTGGTGACATGTTGTCAAAGGAATACAACTGTGATGAGATTGTTTGGAAGATTTTGATTGATGGCTTATTACAAAACGGAAACACTGCTGACTGCTCCCGTCTGCTATCGTTCATGGAGGAACAGAATTGTCGTCCTAGTTCTGCAATATATGCTAGGCTGACAAGTGAAATAACAGTTGCAAGTGAAGCTCAGGAAATTGCTACATGAATATGGACAAACCGACCAACCTTAGTGTTGGTGTTGATGGGTCCATCAATCAGTACAAGGTACATGACTAATGTGCTCAAGCATTATATATATTCTTTCTTTATGTTTTTGTTAGCATTGGACTACTGTTAATAAATGTTCATGATAAAGCATTGATTCTTGAGTTCGTCTACAGTTAATGTAGCGGAATTCCCTTTTGAACTCGGTAGTTTTAGAGGGCTTAAATATTGATAGTCAGCTTCATTCTAATGTTATATAGCACACAGTGCATTCAACCTTATTTTGTTTGCTCAATTTCTCAAGGGGCATTATTATCCTTTTGAAATATTGTTTTCTGCTTGTGCAGATGCGTGAATTGAAAGCATAAAACACTTTGGCACTAGCAGTGCCCCTGTAATTGTGAGGAAGGATGTGGTAACACAAACAGGCCCTGATATAAGCAGGTCCTCTTCTCCCAGCATGAGATCTTCATTTTCCTGTTAACTGTCGGTGCAACAAGTCAAAGAGCTGGAGGGTTGTTTCTCTAACTTTGAGATTAGGGATGCACAGGTGGATGATCGGGTGACTCTGACTAGGTGGTCCAAGGCCCGAGGTTCTGCAAAAAGGCAACAGATATTATAGAGTGGAAGAAAAAATCTATGGAATCTAAATCTTCTGCCTGAGAATTAACACGAACTGTTAAGCGTATATCAAAGTAAGGGACTGCTATTACTGTTAAACTTAGTTGTTTGACAGGCCTTGTCCAAGCATACCATTATTTTTATGCACTATATTTTTCTTAGACTAACTCATACCATTATTTCTATGCACTATCTTTTTATTAGACTTACTTTTTTTCTTCACGAAGTATTATACTTATGACCTCTTCATAGAACTGGGCAACATATTCACGTATTGTGTCCTCTAATATGTTATCCTGCTGATGACACAGAGGCCAAGAATTTTCTTCCATTATCTAAAATGAAATATAGTGTAGCATGCCTTAAATTTGGTCTTCTCACAGTCATTTTATAATTCATTTTCTTGGGTGATCTTTTTGTTTTTGTTTGAGAGACCCATTTACCTTATATTAATAGAGTGCAGATTTGGTGCTCAGGGGGGCTGGCACCCTCGTTAGCTAAGATACCATGTTGCAATGTTTCAAAAATCATCACAAAAATCATGTATGTAGTACACATAAAGTTAAGTATAGCCACAACAATTCAGTTTGAAATTCATCCTAGATGCCAAGAAACAAAAGAGACAAGCAGTCAACCTGGCACTGTTCATCATGTGCTGACAGTGACACTTCTGTTTTTTTAATCTCAGCATCAAAGATGAATTTCAAGCTGAATTGTTGCAGCTGCACTTAAGTTTAGGTGTACTGCGTACATGATTTTTGTGATGATTTTTTGAAGCATTGCAACATGGTATTTTAGAATGAGGGCACCACATGCATATGTCATGAAAATTGCACCAAATACTTCAGATTTCCAGCTTAATAGTGAGAACAGCTTGTTGCACTTTAGCTTGTATGAATTTCAGTAGATATTCATAAAATGGTTAAAAAGAACAGTGTTATGCCATCAATTTTCCCTGCTTTTTTTTTTTATTATCGAAGTCTGAAATAGTGAAAATCCTGGGTCCGCCACTGGTTCTGTTCACATAGAGTACAGAAGTAGTTGTTGGGCTGACTACAGTTTTGGGCTGGTTGGTAATTCATTTCTTGGGTGATCTTCAAATTCTTTATTTCCTATTACTGACGTTGAGTTTTGTGAATTGCATTTGTACTCATTCTAGAAGTTCCTGTTTCACCTGTTCTGTAAAATCTGAAGCTACTACTTATCCTTGGTGGATCGTGAATCATCAAATATGGAGATTTGAGAAGCTAATGAAACTGTGATAAATTTACCATGTTCCTTCAAATGCTGATGGATGTGCTTGCTGTTTGTTAGAAGGATTGATGGAGAGAAGCAAAAATGATTGCATGGGAGAATATGCAGAAAGCAAAAGCAGAAGCAGCAATATGAAAGCTTGTGCTATGCTTATTTCTCGTTTCCAGGTTTAGTTTTTCTTCATTTTTTATGCTTCATTCCTGTTTCCTTTTCTTGGCTGATAGAAGGTTTGATATCCACTCGTACATGTAATTCTTCAGATTAAACTTGAAAAGAAAAGACAGTACTCGCAGGAGAGAATTTTCAACAGCCACAGGTCTGGTCCAGGAAAATGCAGGTGTTACACAGCACGTCAACTGCGAATCATGGTCAGCATATTTCTAGGAGTGTCAAAGCAGCGGCACATCACAAATGAGTTCGTTGGGTCATGGGTGCTTCAAATATCATACTTTCTAGAGATATAGGCTGTGTTTGGTTGAGCTCAAGTGCTTGCCAACCAAACAGGTGAAACCTGAAGCTGCCTTTTCAGAAGCAACTGCTTTCGTATAGTACAATTTTGGAAGCACCTTGGATCCTGTTTTTTGGCTTTTGACTTTCTACTTTTCGAAATGGGTGGAATAGAGAGCTGCTTCACAGAACTTTAAAGGGAGATAGAGAGAGGGGTAGGTTTTATACTTGTTTCACCCAAATAGTTTAGAGCTTATCAACAACACATAGCTTACAACAATTTTTTCACGGCACATAGCAACTATTTCACAGCTCATAGCTAAACCAAACAGACCCATAGTTTCATGATCGGTAAGATGAATTCAGATTTTATCATTGATGAATAGCATTCACTACTTTTGTAGTTGCAGATATGTCCTTTCATTTCTGCATATATTTGTTTGCAACGACTGTCCAAAGTGTTTCTCATGATTTACTATATAATAAAAGTAGCAGGGGTTCTGAAATTTGCATTTCATATTACTTTAGGAATTATTTTTGTGGGAAATGAATTGCTAGTCGATTTCTAATTTGCTTCTGTCACCTTCTGTGACTAAGCATTTGTCAGTTCTAGAATAATCAAATTTTCCATCACATGTATGAATAGTTTAAAAATGCCAATGAATTAACAAATCAAAATCCATATTTATGTTTGCATTTTTTTTTAAAAAACATTTTTATAGACAAGTATGACAAACCCAAATATGCTCTTCAGAACTAGGGGTCTGATTGATTGATGGCCAAAATTTGGTGCTGCTAAACTATAAAATTCGTGTATCAGTTTAGGCAAGTGTTATTAGCCAAAAATACTATCTTCTTGGCATGCACAATTTGTATTGTATATGCTCGGCATGGTACCCGTGCATTGCCATGTATACCAATTTTAAATTCCTATTAATTATCTTCACAACTATTCATTTGTCAATGAAAAAAAATCAAATAGCTCATAAAGCCACCAGCAATTATGTGGTGATAGATTAAAAAAAAAGCAATTATGTGGTGATGCTTTTAGGATGAATAGTTAATATCAAGTGGTATTGTAGGTAACGAGCTAATGGTAGGGTGGGAGTGGTGAAGCATCAAATACACCATACAGCTGAAAAATACCACCGCTATCGAATCGGATTTTTTTAAGGGGTAGATCTGTATCGTCCTGTTCCTGAAAACTTTTCATTTTTTTAATACAACTGAACATATTGTATTAGTTAGGTACATTACGATTGTCCCTTTCCTGCTGACCAGTTTCTTTTTAAGGATGGGGAGGTTCCACCGAGGCATTCCAGTAGAAGGGCTTTAGATTAGGCCATTATAATTCTTCGAGTTATAAGAAATGCCATTACAATTTGTTTATTTGGAGATCCATCATTATAATTTTATCTCTTTTTCATTCATGTCATTTTCTACGGTTGTAGTGTATAAGGGTCCACTGTCAGTGACGTATCCCTACAGAAAGGCATACGGACGTTATTTCCCGTCTTTTCCGTCGGACCGAGCGCGCTCGCGGCGATTTGCGTGAGGGGAGCGGCGGCGCTCGCCTGTGGGTGGCCTGCGCGCGAGGGGGAGGGCTGCTGTCGCCGTGGCGCGCGAGAGCGACGGGGCGCTCGTGGCCGTTGGCCCTGCAGGTTGCAGGTTAGGGCGTGCAGTCGTGGTGGAGGTAGCACAGCCCGCGCGTCGCCTCCAGCACGATCCTGCACGGCCTCCAGCGTGATCCGGGTGCCCGTGCGAGCAACTGCCGCCACGGCCGCGCGGGCGCTGGCGCGGGCAGCCGCCGCCGCAGCAGCAGCAGCGAGCGCGCGGGCGAGCAACACGCACGCGCGGGCACCTGCAATCCGAGCACGGCCAGGTGACTGGACAGCAGTGTCTCCACCTCGATCGAGCTGACGTTCTCGCCGCCGGATGTGATGATGTCGTTGGCCCGGTCCTTGTCCTGAATGCTCCCGTTCGGATACCGCTGAAGCTGTTCGGGTTGTGGGCGAGCTCGTACACGCACCGCGTGCAGCTAGCGCTGCGGCTCAAGGGCCTGGAGTTCGACTACGTGGAGAGGGCCTGGGAACAAGAGCGACGAGCTGCTGCGCCACAACCCCGTGCACAAGAAGGTGCCCGTGCTCGTCCACGGCGGCCGCGCGCTCCCGGAGTCCGTCATTATCCTCCAGTACCTCGACGGGGGAGGACCAGGACGCGGCGGTGCCCCAGGTGCACGAGAACCTCCGCCACATGCTGCTCGGCCTCGCCAGCGCCGGCGCCCCGGCCGCACCCTCCGCCGCCGACGCCCCCATTACTACCGCCGTGCGATCAGGTACGGCCTCCAGCGTAATCCGGGTGCCCGTGCGAGCAACTGCCGCCGCCGCAGCAGCGGGCGCGCGGGCGAGGAACACGCACGCGCGAGCACCTGCAATCCGAGCATGGCCGGGTGACTGGACAGCAGTGTCTCCACCTCGATCGAGCTGACGTTCTCGCCGCCGGATATGATGATGTCCTTGGCCCGGTCCTTGACCTGAATGCTCCCGTTCGGATGCCGCATGGCGAGGTCCCCCGTGTGCAGCCACCCGCCGGCCATGGACTCCTTCGTCGCGTCCTGCACCGCGAAGTGGTGACACCCCTGGCGCGACTTGAGCCGCGCGCGCTCCTCGGCGGGGAGCGCGTCCCACTCCGGTGTCCACGCACACACGGTCGCCACCCCGTACGTCTTCGTGACTCCGTCTGGCCGTAGACGTGGTACAGGACGAAGTCGAGCCTCTCTCCAAGCCTCTCCATCCCGACCAGGAACGTGGAGCGACCTCTCCATCTCCGCCGCGTCGAAGAACTCCGCGAGCCACGCCGCGGGGCTGCCGGCTCGCCGCTGCAGTGCGGCCTCCAGCGCACCAGCGCGGCGCCGGCCACGAGCCCGTCGGCCGCACACCTCTCCCGTGCTGAGGCTGCCCGTGGGGGCCGGAGGCAAAGCAGCGGCGCTCCCGCGGCGGCCGTGCGAGCGATAGCGGGCTCGGTCTGACGGAGGAGCCGGTGACTTAGACGTCCGTATCCCTTCCGGTACACATACGTATGTGACAGTGGGCCCTTCTACGCGGTAGCCATAGAAAATGGCATGGATGAGAAAGACATAATTATAATGGCATCTTGAATAGATGAATTGTAATGGTGCTTCTCAGAACTCGAAAAATTATAATGCCCTTCCATTAACGAGCCTCTTGCGAGCTCACGAAAATAAGAGGCTCAGCGGTTACACTTTAAAAACCGAAATATATAAGGAGCTGTTTGGATTTCTTTATTTTAGAAGAATTGAAATCTACTTAATGGATTAGGTTATTTGGTTTGGAATATGAAATTTCACAACTTTTCAAAGTTCACATATAAGGCTATCTCAAATTCATAGGTTAGAAGATAAAAATTGATTCTATAGATCACCCTGCTACGTTTGCTACTATTTTACTTATAACGCACTTTTCAACTCGCTTCCTTATAGAAGAAATGCAACATATAAGCATCTCTATATATTCCACGTACAACTATATTAGTTTAATTAATATATGCCTAAATTATAATTTATTATAATGAATTCAATTCCAATGATCCAAACAAAGTCTAAAGGATTACATGTTTGAACTAAAAGATAAGCACCATGCGTCTTCAATTGCTTGGTCTTGCGAATGAGCCTGTGGTATAGTGGTATGCCTATCCAGTGGAACTCTACTCATCAGGGTTCAAACCCTGATGGAAAATTTAGGGTAGTGCGCGTTCGGTGGTACGAGCCTCTCAATCTCTTCTTTGTGTGTGTATGGATATGTAAACGTGTGTGTACGTGTGGCGTGATTATAAAATATATGGGTTGTATACGTTTTGTACGTGATAAAAATAAATTGCTTGGTCTTGCTGTCTTGTCGCCGCAGCCGGCATTGCCTGCCGGAGCCTGGCCTCTTCTTTGTACGCGAGCAAAAGTCTGGGAAGAGACGGTGGCTGTTGTCTGAACACACCGGCGTGGTCATGCCGGTGTTTCCAAAGTTTCCAGCAAAGTAGCAGGGAAGTGAGAAAGTAAAATTTGGGACTCAGTTTTTGCATCGACAGTTTCTAGATCTTTGGAGGCGGAGTCACTCGGTTGGAGGCCTGGAGATTCTCATCAGGCCACCAGCTAGCAAGACCCAGCTAATTCAGGCCAAAAGCAATAACCAAAAAGGTAACCATCTAATTTTTTTACCTTAGCCCATCCAAAAAAAAGGGGGCTAATAACTGGGCTAACAGTTCATCTTAGTAGAGAGTAGAACAATTCTATGAACAAAACTGATTTTAACAGGATTTTATCTAACTATTAGTTTTTGTATCAAACAACACATAGCTAAACAATTAGCTCTAGCCATTAGCCAAGTAACAATTAATCAACCCGATCAAAACAGGGTCTAACTTTAGAGATTTTCTCTGTTGGTTAATTTTTTTGGATACATGTGCATTAGTACGAATGGACAATACCTTAGCCTCTGCTAGAGTGTTATTAGGCATTGAGTCGAAGGTCCTTTGACGTTTCCCCATGGAACTATTAACGTAGATTGGTTGATCTTAGCATATTATGATTCAATGTGACTATGTGATCATTTGATGCACATATATAATACGGAGTACAAAATATGTACATCTTGGTACTATTTAAGGGGATGAGAATCTACATATCGAGTGTTTTTCACAGAGTTGGGATAGGGAATCATTCCCCAACAAGGAATTATCATCCCTTGGAATGCTATTGTGTGTCAAAACCTCTCCACACAAACGTTACATTGGATGAAAAACAGGTCCAATTGTGTAGTTTAGGCAAGTTGGACTACCGTGATTCCGTGACAATGGCTTTACTCATCAATAATCTAATAACCATAGCTCTAGCAATTGGGCTGCAGTGTGTTTTTAGGCTATATAGGCTGAATTGATGAGGGTATGTACGTGGATCATAAAAGTTCAACCCACCAGACGGCCATCTTAGAGCATTGCTATTACGGCAGTGCTAGCGTCCGGACATCCGAACGGCCTCCCGCGTCACACTCCGTTTACGTGGGGGCTACCCGAACGTCACTAGCATCGAGAAGAGGGAGAGGGGACAACGCTCGCCTGCGCTGTTCGGATGCAGAGTCGGCGCCGGGAGGAGGAGACACTGAGGCGAGGCAGCAGAAGGCGAGGAGGGAGATGCAACACTTGCAACATACGTCTAAAAGCCGATGAAACCCTTGAAACATGCATCTTGCAAAAACATATGAAAAACACTTAAAACCATTGTGAAATATACGCAACATCCAGATAAAACACTTACAACATATGTGTGAAACATATACAACAATCAAATAAACACACTTGCAACATACGTCTGAAAAAAACAGATGAAACGTTGGGAACAGAAGGTTGCAACATACATGTACAACCATTGCAACATATGCAATATCCCGATCTACTTTTGCAACATCCATATGAAACACTTGCAACATACCTATGAAACATCTGAAACACTTGAAACATAGACTTGCAACATGTTCTTTCAGCGCAACATCTCCTTGCTGCTTGCGAATGGAGGCTCGTCGACGCGTGGAGTTCACTGTTGTAGAGCTCACCGGTGGCGCGAAGCTCACCGCTCCGATGGAGAAGGCTGCGGTGGGTCCACGTGCTGGAGAAGGCTGCTGCGGGCGGGAGACGTAGTGGAGAGGGAGGAACACCGGCCGCCGCACTTGGGTGTGGTGGAGATGCCAGACGGCAGAGCGGAGACACGATGGAGAGGGAAGCGTGGTCTCGAGGCGGCGTGGCGAAGCACTGTCGCGTTGCGGTTAGGTGACCTTTTTTTAGAGCGGTTGCGAAGTGAGTGGCGAGCAAATAAGAGGCGGTTGTCGTGACCCAGCAACGGAGCGTCCGGGCGGCCGGACGCCCGCTTCCTAGAATTATCGTTGCTATTAAGTTTAGGAAACCTCATCTTTACATGTCGAGAAACCCTCCAAACCTTGACAGTGTAGATCAGCGCCGCACCATAACCTAGGCTGGCGGCCTCAGACATCATGTTCTTTTGGTCTTTATTTCGCTGCAACAGCGTAAAAAAATGGAGCCATTGTGGTTCCTGAATGATACCTTTCTCGAAAGGCAGAAGGCTCTTCCAGATTACAGCGTGCCTTTGATTAGCAGCCCACTCAATTGAATCCATGTCCACCTCAGCAGTTTTACCCTCGCTCCTCCTTTCCACCTCAGCAGTTTTACCATGGCTTGCGACTTGCGAGCATGGCGGTACATTTTCCTGCACAAAGCTTGAGTGACCTGCACGAAGCTGTGGAATAACCTCGGGAGTTCAGGTCCTTTTATCCCTGTGTCCGCCTGTGGCCTGTCCATCAGGATGGAGAGCAACCAACTGCTTGCTCAGAACAGCAGCATGTCCACGTTATTCTGAGATGGAGATGGATGTGAATGTATTTACTGCTGTAGCAGAATGTGGATGTAGTTATTGGAGACTAATGGCACCCAGAATAATCTGCCTACAACAGGGTTCATATTCTGGGTACATTCCTTTAGTTTTGATTCTACCAGGAGAATATAAAGAAAGTAGACGCAAAACAAGAGGAGCTACTGCTCTCGCTCGCGCGCGTGACAAAACTGTGATTACTGGTGTCTGACCATAATAACAACCAGTTCCTCTTCTGGTTGTCTACAATTGCAACGCTTTTACAGAAACTATCACCACTCTGAGATCTGGGAATCATATTATGACTTGATCAGGAGCACGATGCTTGCCTTCACCCCAAAAGTTAATCTTGCCAAAGCGTGAAGACAGCAAGCGAAATAACAGATTCTGTTATGCTAACTGCATTTCAAATTCAGTAACTGGTGTTACTTCTTATAGTGACAACAACCAAGCGAGCACATGTCCCGATTAACCCATCGAACTAAAACACACAATTCATCAGTAAAATACACACACAAAGAGATTAAAATGACTTCCAATAAAATAACGCAGCGCAGAAGTTCGAATCTAATTAAATACTGATTCAGTTGTTAGCCTGCACTCCTGAAACCCAGTTTCTGGGGAAGTCCGGAATTAGATCGCCAAGCTTCTCAGACGAATTCACAGATGGGAACATAGCAATATAGCATGATGGCAACATCTAAGGCTGTCAGAGTTCAAACCTCGGAAAATACAAACCAAATACAGGCACACTGAAGACAGTAAAGTTTCCTCTGAATGAACATAATCTGCATATAGCATACACTACATCAGTTTTAAGTTCTGGCAAATGGTTTTCATTTGTGTAAATTTAAAAACATGAGATTCCTCAAAGAAATCTTAAGTACTGGAAGAAAGGGCACATGCATTATTTCAATAGTGAGACATCACCAAATTGTTGTTGAGCTCAAGTTACAGGTAATGTTCTCTCTTTTTTTTTAAAGTGTATATGTTGCCTTTGTACAAAAAAAAGATGTGTTTGTCCTTAAAAATGTTCAGCCAAGAAAATACCGTGTGTGTGGAAACAAGTATTCATGTCTATCAACATCAAATAGAACTTACCAGTTAGCAACCACTCTGTCATTTATCCACCAATAAATCATATCAGGAAGCTGATGAAATGACTGTCACTGAAGCTTCCCAGTGTAAATTTGGTCCATCCCAACATAAATAGTGGATCTGGAGATTTCAGTCCAGCTGTCCAGAAAGGCAACAATAGAACAATCTTTTGCTATCCCAAAAGCATCAGCTCACCTTTTATCAGAAGCATAGATAACCAGATCTTCAATTACAGCCATAATGTGTTTCATTAATCCTTATTGCACATTTCGATTTTTCAGCAATTTTTGGGTTTAGCTCTTAGGGTACTCAAAAACTATTCCATTTGATGGATAAGTCTCTATGTTGGCTGGTCTTTGTGAGGCTGCAGCATATGGTCCTTGTGGCAGCATGGTGGTCTTGCTGCCCATCAAGGACAGCATCCTTGACTGGCTAAGACAACATCTTAGCATCTAGGACTAGCATCTAGGACAGCATCTAGAACAGCATCTTAGCATCTAGGACTAGCATCTTGGCATATGCTTGGTTGGCTAGCAGCCTATAAATATGTATCCCCAACCCCTCATGTTGGCATGACATTTGTGTGAGAAATAAATCAGAAAATTGCTCCAACTCCTAGTGTCATCCTCTCTCGATGAGAGTAAGAATTCAGCGACTAACACCATTCGCCACAGCTTTGGGATGGCCAAAAACTTTCCTGATGATAGCTAGGGAAAAATCAACTGTCCCAAGCCCCTTACCAGTGATCAAATTTCCGTCGACCACAACCTTTGCTTGGTCTATAATTTGGCACGTGAGCTCACTGCCTAACAGCATGATGAGCTGTCACTGTTTTATCCTAAGGTTAAAAAAAATCCAATGTCAATTTCCATTTCAAGGAAATATTGATGTGCCATGAGTTTTTAGTCTTAGAATTTCACCTCGAGTAAACCTTGCTGCTGCAGAACCTTCAGAGCAGAACAAACCCCACCATACATCCTGCCAGCTTGCATTTGTTGTTTGAGTAACTTCTTCAAAATTCTGGACCTGTGCAGCCGCTCAGCTCCAGCAGCTCCTCCCTGGATTATGAAAGATGCAACATATAAAAATGAAACAAGAACAATAAGCATATAGCTGCACACAATTAAACGGCATAAATTTAGTCACTTTTGCGAAGGGCGGGCCTGGTGCAAGTGGTAGAGTCTTACCGCCTGTGACCGGAAGGTCCCGGGTTTAAGTCGCGGTCTCCTCGCATTGCACAGGCGAGGGTAAGGCTTGCCACTGACACCCTTCCCCAGACCCCGCATAGAGCGGGAGCTCTCTGCACTGGGTACGCCCTTTTTTTTAAAATTTAGTCACTTTTGCATTTATAAAGCCCAAATACTAAGTACACAAAAATAGTTTCAGAGCAAGATAGAGATTCATAATTGAAGTATACACATGATTTATCTGATAAATATATAAACATTGCTATGAACAACCGATATGCTGAGATACAACAACACTAGAAACTAAACCGTCTAAATGGAACTGCTAAATCTCAAAGATCAATGTGCTAGTACAACTGATTGTGATATACCATAAAAAACTGTAAATGACATCTAAAAGCCAGGTGCTGTGTAAGAATGCAAGAATGAAGATTCTCTTGTTTTAAGCTTTGTTCAGTTGGATCCTTTCATAGTAAATAGCTTATTGCTAATATACACCTTTATTAACTCCTGTACAACATGGCATGCACTTCAGAATGGCCTTACTTTTTGTTTTATCAATAACATGACAATTTTGTCCCACGTCTATGAATCAATTAAATGGTAGATATATTGTTGAAATGTGTGTCACCATTTATGATCATCCAAATAAAAAGATGAACTGCAGGACCTTACAGGAAGAATGATTAGATCATATATTGAATCAGAGGCACTCATAATGCTTTTATCAGCAACAATCTTTATCCTTTGAGATCCAAGAATAGTTGGAGATTTTTCAACTGACGCTAATACCACATTTATCTTTGCCCGTCTTAAAATATCAACCAGAATTATGATCTCCATCTCTTCAGACCCATTTGCAATTGGAATAAGAACCTGTTTCCAATGTCAAATCAACCTCAATGTTATAATAGAACAGCCAACACTCCAGCAAAATATAGGTGAAGCCAATCATATCATTCCATGTAATGTCCATGGATATGAGTATGACTGGAATTCCCTAGAGGACTAGATATAATAAAAACAGCAATCCAGCATTTGAGGAGGAACAGAGAGATCAACTACATTAAGTATAGCAGACCAAATTGTACAGTAATTTACTCTTATGTAGTGATTTTTAAAGATAAAAATTGCCTAGATTCAAATTATATTTTTCATTTAAGCATGATGCCCTCCACATTGTGACATAAAATCCTTGGTAAAGGATGAACCCATGTATAAGATGATGAAGCATGCAGTTTTAAAGGTGACTTACCTCAGGATTACGATCAACAGACCACTCAAATTCATTGACTTCTGCACTCCTTTCAAGATCGTCGTGAGTTTGTGCCATCTATAGGGTAATATACAAAATAACCATCAGCATTGATAAACAAAAACTGAGTAGTTTGAGTAGATAGTAGGCGTGAACAAACTGAATTTAAGGGGAGAAAACAAGAATGAAAAGGACGAATTATGTGTCTTAGATTTTATTAATTTAAGCTGGTAGGGGAGTAGGACCCATGACCTTAACCACCACAACTATCAGACTGAATTTCTATGTCAAACAACCTAATCAGCTAAAAGGAAATAACTCCCATGGGGAGAACACCCTCCCCCCTCTCCCGAGGCTTTGTCCTAAGAGAGGGGAGCACCAAACCCTTAAAGGCTTGTTTGGCTGCACTCTAATCCACATGTACTGGTGGAAAACTAGTAAATTTTCCACACAGACAAACAAAGCCCACAAGGAGGTCCTGGAACGAGCCTCTCAACTGGAGGATCTACAAATAGATATTGTTAGTCGCTGAATTCTCACTCTTGGTAGTAGGAGAATTCTTACTCTCATCGAGAGAGGATGACACTAGGAGTTGGAGCAAATTTTCTTGTCTATTTCTCACACAAACTCACACAAATGTCATACCAACCTGAGGGGTTGGGGTTACATATTTATAGGCTGCTAGCCAGCCAAGCATATGCCAAGATGCTAGTCTAAGATGCTAATATGTTGTCCTAGCTAAAATGATGTCCTCTAGTCTAAGATGTTGTCCTCTAAGATGCTGTCCTCTAGTCTAAGATGCTGTCCTAAAAACAGAAAAACAGCCACAAGGACCATGTGAGCAGCACAGCCCCACAAAGACCAGCCACACATGAGACTTATTCATCAGATATCCTCGGTTCTCTAATCAACAAAAGGGCTAAAAAAAGAAGAAAAACTCAACCTAACGCCTCCGTGGCATTGCATTAAGAAAAAACTTCTTGCTCACAGGCTGAGAAACAGGACACATACCTGCGGCCATGTGCATCTCGCTGAGAGCGATTCAGGTGGTTACATGTACAACTCAGGAACACGACTAACGAGTGGTGTTTTTAACCTAGGCCTATTTAAATTCGCTCCCACGGGGAGTTGAACGGAGGACCTAAGGTGCTACTAAGGCTCTTATGACCACAAGGCTACAGACCCATTCGCTTAAAGGTATTATGTGAAATAAAAAAAGTATTAAAGTTTCTTTTGACAAACCAAAATCCTGTTCATATCTTCAGCTGTGTGAGGCCCAAACATTTGCTGAACAAATGATAGAGCGAACTGAAATGCTGTCCCTGGGCCACGACTTGTAGTAAGCTCTCCTGAAACCTGAACATTTGATTCAACAGCTCGGAATGCAGGGAGATCTATAAAAGATGGGTGACAGGTGATCTTGTAAAGAAAGAAGTAAAAAAAAAAATGTCATTACAAAACCCAAATATCAGTAGACTATATTTATCAATATAGCAAAGTGACCACCTTTTTTCTCCTGTGGAGACCCCACGGCGTTAGAACAACCGCCGGTGCGGCACATATAGCACCATACAATCTTTTCTCCTCAGCCTGTCTAACTGTGATCCTCTGAAGGATGTCACTGTCTCTCAACCGCACTGAACCAGGCATTCCTCCCTGGACACAGCAATGCATGAATCAACCGCACTGAACCATATTTTGCGCACTGCCAGTAAGTGATGTACACATGTAACGCCACAGAACAAAAAGGTGGGACCGTGAGAGATTGACCACTCACCATCAGCACGAAAATTGGAGAAAATGGCGCCAGAGTGAAGTATTGTCATATTACAACTTTTTTACGAAAGATTGTCAAATTTTCGTTGTTGTCAAAAACTCAAAATACATATTAGAACGCTTGACGCTTCTGAATCATTTCTCTTGCTAATTCCTATCCTCAATGCACTAAGCTCCACAGGAACCGTTTATGCCACGTACTGTAGGTCAGTAAAAGAAGATAAAGTGAGTTACCGGGAGAGCCACAAGATCGAACACTTGGTCAGCGCAGGAGGCAATGTGCGTGTCCGCGACGATGCGGGAGCCGCAGGACGCCTCCACCTCGAGGCCGTCCTCCACAGAGGCAAGCGTCACGTCAGCGCCAGCTCGCCGGAGGACGCCGGCGACGATGACCGCCTCCATCTCCTCCGTACCCATGGCGACGGGCACGAGAACCTTCGTAACAGAGAGAAGGCGCGCGCGGAAAGTTAGCCTCGAGGTCGGTGCTGTCAGCGAGAGTTGGGGTGGCGAATGGAGACCAGACCTTCTTCTTCTTTGGATAGGAAGGAGACGAGACGGCTGCCGCTGCGGTGGCGGACAGCAACGAGACGGCCGCTGCGGTGGCGGAAAGCGTGGGGGCCGCCCGCGCCAAGGAGCGCGGTGGTGGTGGTCTAATGGAGGAGTAAAGGGAGCAGTTCTGTGAGTTCAGCGGTAGCCGTAGCTCCATGGCAGGAGGTCCAATGAGGGAGGGAAGAGGGTGCCATGGAGAGAGCATCGACAGAGGCCGGGGCGTAGGAGCGGGGAAGACGACGGGGAGAGACGAGCAGGCGTTTGGATATGGGACAGAGTCACAGAGATATGGATGTGAAAAATTTTGACCGTATTCTCTGTGACATGATGTTAAACTTTCTTGCCTTCTACGTTATTCTGTTCACTTTGAGCTCTAACGCTGTCTAATTAGGATGGAAGAAAAGTCCAAAATACCCTTGTCTGAACGCATGTGAGTGTAGAGGAGAGAGACATCGGAGACGATAGTACACTTTGAGCTCTAACGATGGAAGAAGTCCAAAACCCCTTGTCAGCGCATGAGAGTGTAGAGAGGCATCGGAGATAAAATAAAATAAAAGATCAACTTGTCAAGAGAAAAGAAAAAAAACAACGAAGCCCTTATCCTGACTCCAGAAGCTCCCGTCCGGCGAGTGGAGACCATGCCGGCGTCGTAGGATGGCTGAGCGCCCACCCTGGGAGGCACGCGCACCAGCTGGTGCTCGCGATTTTGAGGACAGCGGCCTGCAGAGACGATGCTAATGTTGAGCGCCATTGACTCAGACACGGAGCAGCGCTGCAGCCACCGTCCCACCACTTCACACCCTTGCAGGCCAAGCCGAGGTCGCCACCGAGCTCGTCTCCCGCTCCTCCACCCCGTGCTCGCAGATATGGCCGAGTTCACCATTCCTGCCGGTTGCCACCGCCATGGCTACCGCACACGGCAACCCACAGCAACCCCCGGGCGCAGCAAAGCCGCACCAGGACGCGGAACAGCGCTAGCACCCGCAGCACCAGCCTCCCCAGCACGGGAACGCCGGCAGGGACGCGACGGCGTTGACCAGCGTCATGCCCCCGGACGGCCCCTGTGTTCGCCAACGCAAACGCGGCCCCGACCGCAAGCACGGAGTCGTGCGGCATGGGGTGGACGGGGGCCACGCTGAGAGCCTCCGCGGTGCGCGCGACGGCCGTGGCCGCCTCGTCGGGTGCGTGCGGAGACCTCCACGCTGGCGGGGCGACGGCTGGCGCCTCTTGGTACGGGACCTCGTCGGTCTGCATGAGGTGCTCGAAGGCGTGGAAGATGCCGCGGTTCATGATCTCCTCGAGCGCCGTGGCATGGATGTCGTGGGAGGAGAGCGACTAGAGGCAGCGTCGAGGCAGCGCCTTTCGTCGGCGTCCGAGACGGCGCTAGCGGCCGCAGCCTTGCCGTCCCCGTCGTGCTTTCCGCTGAGCCGAGGTGGGGGAGGGGGGCAGCGTGGGGGGCAAGTCGTCACTGGAACTGCTCGGTGGCGCGCCGTTTCGGCGAATGGGTGGTCATCGTCGGCAAAGGATCCGACAAAGGCGGTGTATAGCTCCCCGGCCGACGTGCGACACCCCCTCCGCCGGCGTCCTCTTGACGCTCGTGCTCCATCCTCAGAGTGGTGGTGTCGGTCGACGACCACGTGCTGGGAATGGCCGAACGGGCAGCAGGTCGAGGTGGGAGTAGGCATGTGGGAGCTTGGGACGGCTGGTCGGCGGGAGGAGCTGCGGGCACGGTGGCCGGCGTCCTGCTCAACTTCCGCGCGTTGCTCCTGTCATGTTCCTCCATGGACGCGAGCGCCCCGCCCTACCCCACGGCCGCGCGGGCCGTCCCCGGCGCCGGTGTCGCGGCCGCCGCCATGTACGCCCTGCCCCACGCCGTGAACGTGCGGACGCCACGAGCGCCTCGCCCTGCCCCGTGGCCGCACGGGCGCCGCCACGAGCGCCCCGCCCTGCCCCACGGCCGCACGGGCCATCCCCGGTGCCGGCATCGTGACCGCCGCTGCGTGCGCCCTGCCCCACGCCGCGGACGCACGTGCCGTCCTCGACACCAGCAGCGTGGCCGCCGCTGCGACTGACCCGCCCCACCCCCGCGCAGGCGAGCTCCTCCCCAGCCACCGTGACGGTGCACGGGTGAGCTCCGCCCCCGGCAACTGTGACAGTGCACAGACGAGCTCTCCCCGGCCGCGTTCTTGACGAGGTAGAAGGTGCCCGGGTCACTTACAGCTTAGCCCCACCGAACATAGAGAAAGAAGTGAGAGGATAAGGTTGTGAGAGAAGGGTATTTTAGACATTGTGACCGGCTGGGCCCACATGTCCGAGCTGCCAAACGGTGGAAACCAGACGGAAGGTGGACGGAATGGCGTGTGGAGTAAAAGAGTTTAGCGTCATGGCATCAAGGTGTATTCGAACTTTTTAATGACATATAGGCCTTTTAAACGGGCGGTCCGGCCCTGACCAGGCTCTGGCACGATGCGGTCGTCGCGCCAACACCGTGCCGAGCCCGTCTCGCGCCGCCACTCCGCCGCGCGAGGCCGTCGCACCGTAGTAATTCATCCATCTTACAGAAATGTTCCTTGTATGCTCTACAGGCTCCATGATGGTCGAACAGTGAGCTGCTGTATAGCTCCGAGATTGTTCTGTAAATCACTGAATTGGTGTTTGATAGACAAGTCGCCGTTTGGTAAAATTTCGTTTGGTTGCTTACATTGTGTTCTATGTATTCATTTCCATGTTCTAAATTTTTTTTCATGTTTCTAGCTGGGAGGAGCTGACGGTTTTAGTCGTAAATATACATCAGGGAATAAAAAATACTCCTTAACGAGTGTTACCGACAACATTTTGTCACGTGTCACCGATACAACAGTATGTCATGTGGCTTAAAACAAGAAGCAGCCTACAAAATTGAACGAGCTTGACAGCAAACTCCTTGCAAAATCAACTTTCCGCCTTCCTACTCTTCTTTCTTCTATCTGGTTCTCCCTCTCTATCTTTCCTCCGTCTCTGTCATTTGCCCTTATCAGCCGGCTTATCAACTAGAATGTACAGTATTTTTCTCTCACAACAAAACAGCTTCAGCCGGCTTTAATACCAATCGAACAGCTTCGCTGGAGCATCATTTCACAGATAGAATAAAAAACCAGATCCAGATGCACTATCAAGACTATTTTAGCTCTATATATGTTTCTCTAGTCACTTATAGTAAGGATTGCGTTGGAGCATCATTCGACAGATAGAATAAAAGACCAGATCCAGATGCACTATCAAGACTATTTTTAGCTCTATATATGTTTCTCTAGTAGCGAGTTTGAGCAACTGTCAACTCTGGCATTAGTCGCTCTGCTCTGCTGCCATTTTTTAGCGACGGCGGCAGCTGTGACTGCATGCTTTTCTCTCACCACTGTAGTTATTGAATACTTTGCTGCAGCAGCAGCACAAACAGCACTGCAACAAGCGCAGCCGATTGGGCATCACATGACCAAAGAAGGAACAAACCACGGAACTGAACTTTCAGGGCAGTTGAGGAAACCAGACCACGCTTGGTGTCAAGAAATGTCATTAAAGTTTAATCTGAAATTTTGAAGCCATCGAATGGGCAAAAGCACCTCAGCAGAGAAAGTCTTAAGAGGGTCTCTACTTTTCCCTGATCCTCCCTTGAACCCCTGTCTTTTCCGCCTTTGGGCTTGTCGATACCCATAGCAGCCCTGGAAAGTTCGACAACATTGCTCGCTTCTTTTGTTTTCGGATCAATTAGGTAGTCAGGGGCATCACGCAGGTGTGCAGGAATTTCCTTGTTGCTTAGCAACTTATCGTGCTTGAGCAAATCTGCAAAGGAGAAATAAAACATCCATTATGATTGCTTAGACAGGTTACATACAAACACAACTATTCTGCACAGAACTTGTAAATCTCACCAAGGTCCCTTGGATTCTCTTCAAAATGAGACTTCAATCTACAAGGTAAAAAAAAAGGCATGACTATTAGGGAAGAAAATATTATTAGCGCAGAAATGGACTGAAATGAAAATGATCTTTTGTTTCATGAAAAAGATGTACAATTTCATATATTTGATGTTCTCGGTTTCTCAGCAAGAAAGCACAGTTTGTTACTATCTAGCAGTATACCGGCAATAAGTAGAGTTTTTTTTCCTTTTCTTTTTCCGAGAATAACCAGTAGGTTGTTTTCAAGATATTAAACTATCATTATGCAATTTGCATTCTACCAACAATTTAGCTGCTTTAGTTGCAGCAAGGATCTTACTTCTCAGAATTGAGGATTTCATTCTTTATGTCTTGCCGACGCGCTTCCTGTATATCACGTGTTCTCACACTCCTTGCAACATCCTGTAGGAGTAGTGCTAGTTAACAATAGCCATCCATATCAGTACTGCTGCTTGAGTACACAAAAAAAAAAAGCAACCATGCCAGTTGCAAGAATTGTTTTGAAAAAACTTCTGCAAACACACACACACACACATTTGCTAGAAGCTAGCACATTAGCACAAAATCAAGTACAGATTCAAGCTAACATGCTCTGCACCAACTATTCTGCATATCAGCCTGATTACTACTACTAGCTTGCCCAGGCAAAAAACAACAGTAGTTTTTTAGCCAATCAAATGAATTTTCCTTATCAGGCAAGAAAAGGCCAAGAGCCCAAGACTAACACAAACAGATACACCTGAGCAAGGTTTCATATTTAATGAGCATGCCCACATATCCAGGCTCCAGGCTCTCAGTAGTGCAACGAAGGTTCATATACATAGTATCTACTTGACTAATAAATGACAAGAATCAACTGAAAATTACGCTGCCAACTGCATTGAACACTCTTACCAGATCAGCATTTAGCCTTCCAGTAACCACAATATAGATCCTCACCAGGCAACCCATGCCTCACTCAAATACTAGCACATCCTCACAAATAATAAGTTCCATACAATCTATGCTAGCATCAAGTTGCATAAATGGACAGAAACGGAAATATAGAATATGCTCAAAAGAAAGTCAAATATATAATCCGCAACAGATATATTGCAGACCTGAGCCCTATACCGTAGAGACTCAACAGCATCTTTTGTAAGTAATGGGAAAGGTGAAATGCAGTCCATATCTTTCTTTTCGACATCTTGCAACATATGCTCAATCTCTTTAAAAATACTATCCTCCTCTTGTGAAACCTAAAGAAGCAATTGCCAAAACATATGGACATAAACATCAGAACAAATAAGAACTTTGCAACATGTCAGTTATTTCTGATGATAAATTTATATGAACAAACCATGTATGTCATTAAACTTACAAGCGATATGGATGCACCAGTCTTATTAGCTCTACCTGTTCGCCCTACTCTGTGAACATACCCAGCAGCATCCAGAGCCATGTCAAAATTGACTACCTAAAAAACAGGGTTAAAGACAAAATTTCATTTTCTGAGTGACCTATCCTAATTTCGAGCTATTAAGCCATAAAAAAAGGATGACAAAATCCGAACTTCTTTATAGATCTTTCTAAAGAGAAGAATTGATGAACCATACACCAGACATTCAAATTGAATCCTTCTCTCTTTTATTTCAGAGAGAACATAGTACGACAATTTCTCTACATAAAATTCAGCATCTACAGCTCATGATGAGTGATATAACTGTGACCTCCAAGATAAAATATAACAAAACTGCCAACAAAACAGAACACATATTGAGCCAGCAGTTAACCTAAGAAATGTTCTCAGTTACTGACTTAATCGCAACAAGGTATGTAACGGTGATAGAGTGCCTCTGAATCTCTGACGATGATTAGATCGATATATTTACTTACTGTAAATACATTTTTGAAGTCGATTCCTCTGACAACTCCAAATTCGGCATCTAAAGTCTGTTGCAAATGTTTGCGGGACACCTTTGACTCTTTCTTGTTTTCCTTATTGGTTTGCTTCTCCTGTTTGCGGGACAACTTTGGCTCTTTCTTGTTTTCCTTATCCTTATTGTTTTGCTTCTCCTCCTTTGTTTTAGTATCATCCGTTGCTATCAGATAATCAAATAACCTCGCATTGAATGCCTAAAAAGAAATACACAAACAATTTAAATTGTTTCTGGAGCCACCTTGTCAACACAAGGAAGTAATCTGTGCAAGTTTCTAGCAAAAGATTCGATATCAAAGTTTTAAATACTATTTAACTGGTAACCTTCCATAATGACTTTTTCTGTTTCTCAACAATAAGGGTCCAAGACTAAAACCAGAGAACAGGAAAGATATTGCTATTCACGCAATAGAGGCATATATTAGCCAATAGTTAGAAATAAATAAAAATGGCAGAGTTTTAGAGACAAGTGCCTGCATAAAGCACAGGTACATAATTTAACAAGCAATCTAAGGAGCTGAAGGGAACCTATCTCAGGGGTCACGTAACGACCAAGCTGTTGCTTCATTTATCCATTTATTAAGTTCTTGTAGTTACAAATAATTTGATAAAAGCCATGCAAAAATGATACCTCTATAATATGTAGTCGGGAATTTTGTGGCAACTCAGCATTCAAAACTGCAGATCTTATCCCAAACTGTATAAAGCAGAACATTAAAAATAGAAACCAGATAGAAGCAAAAGCAAAGAACAACATAATACGTGAACAAAAGCAGTTAAGTGAACAGTATACTCATAGAAACAATCATAGCATAGGCAAAGTTTGTATAGCATTATCCAAAAATGTCAGTACAAGATGTAGCATTATCCAAGGTGTGAGTGTGTGGTACTGTGGTATTGTCTGGGGGGGGGGGTTCCCCCCTTTGGTCTTCTTCTTAATATAATGATATGCAGCTCTCCTGCATGTTCGAGGAAAAAAAAAGATGTAGCGCTGATCCTTCAGTTATTTTTTACAAGACTTGCCTAACCTGGTATCTTATGGTTATCTGAAAAGACAAATGAACTTAATGACATAGCAAGAGAGTCAATTGTGACATGATTGTATGCTCAACTTTATAACATCAAATACAGAAGGAACAAAGAAAGTGGTTGACACCAAAGTAGGTCACAAGGTCAATAATTGCAGCACATAAAGTCCAGGTTATCTCAAACAGGAATTCTACAAATCAATCAATTCAGAATATGTTGAAGTTTTTTTATCAGGTATCAAGTAATTAAAATACCTTTTTACAGATCTAGATGACCAATCACATTTTTAGGGTAGTGACACAAAGGCAGTGGTTTGATTTACCTTTTCCAAGAACAGTTGTAATCTGAATGCCATATCAATTGAGTTCACAAATATAAGAACTTTCTTCTGAATAAGCTCGAACTTCAAAAGTGCAAGGATATAAAGCATTTTATCCTTAGCATCACATGAGATCTGTGGGCAAAAAATGAATGATATGTAATGAGCAGGAAGAAGAAATTGATGTGTAAAAGTCCATGTAACTTCAGCAAAATGAATATGATTTTTGTTATCAAAATAATACGTCCATAGCTTCAGAATGGCCCCAGATAAGGGACAGACAGGAAAATGTAACCTTATCGCGCATGAGAACTTTTGGTTTTCCAGTAAAAGTTTTTTGGAACCTCCAAGTTGCAATGGTAATATGAAAAGGAGAACAAGTACATATATGTCAAAAGAACAGGCAGCAGGAGATACTTGCCCAAAACTGCTGAACATTTTTGGGGATCACCTCATCCTTTGCTCGACCAACCTCCGAAAGAGTTAGAATAAATGGGTTATGCAGAAGTAGCTTTTGTCAATTTGTCAACATCAGAGCTGCCGTACAGTCAAATTTCAGTATCACCAAATAAATGGAACACAGATGCAAGCAAGGGCCCAAGTGAATCAAACTACTAATGTTCTCTCTTACCAAGGGAAAACAATAGCATGGATTCAACTTCCAACACTTACATGTCAGATGCATTTAAACAATTAAACTATGAGCAGAGTCCCCGTCAAGAGAAGCAACAGCACAAACAGGTCTAACAGCAACCACCCACTTAACCAGCATGATAAATAAACATTATAAATTGTAAACAGCAAAAAATTCACAATTTCAAGGGTAAACCATCTGGGCCAAGTATTTTATAAAATAAAGAAATGCAGAAGAAGGAATATTGACCAGATTTGACCTTGAAGTTGCAGACATCAGAATGGACTGGCAGCTTCTCGGGATATGTGGGATGAGAGCTTTCAAGTCATCTTCACAGCGGTAGGATAGAAGAAGGTCAGCCTGGGAACTAACGATTGGTAGATTAGTAACTTCTTCAAAAGGAACTTGCCTGAACATTATGATTAACACACAGAAGAGGTGTGGAATCTGATATACATCACTTCAAAGAAGAATGTTGTACCCCCTCCCTCAACCTTTCTAAAGGCATATTTTGATGCAAAAATAGTTTGTAATTTGACCAACAGTTAGTCAAATTAAATGCATGTTTAGAGTATATAAGTCATATCAATATATTCATAATTTTGAAGTGTTTTTTAGTAACTGAAAATACATTGCAAAAGAAACTCAAAGGTTAAAATATGCTTTTCAAGACTTTCAATACCAAAATACACCCAACAATGATAAACAGAGGATGTACATGGCAATGTCAGCTTTTTAAAAAAATGTCACCAGAATTTTGAAGTATGATCTCCAAGTCTTTACAATGGCACAAATCAAAATCATCATATGCACAAATACATGGAAAAAAATTAATCTTTAACTCAATTAAGAAAAATGGAATAGCAGAAATTTCTTTTCATTATTTCATAGACTGGAAAAGAGAATATAGAACCACAAATTCAACGCTGGCATTCTTCTTTATATTGCAGGGCCCATGAAATATGTAAATGAAATAAAATGAAAGTAAAAAAATAAATTATGAAAGACAACTGAAGTGCACCTCATCGAGAATCATCATTGAAAGTGACTCTTTAACTGAAGGTCCACGGATAATTCCCTTTGATATGCATGTTGCAACACAAGCTGGAGTTGACACGAGAATATTAGGTGGGCCAGACAATGCAACAGTCTGCAAATAACAGGCAAAAGTAAGTTAGTTACTTGAGCTAATAGAAATAATAATAATAACAATACATGGATACCAAGTGGACAAAATAACTGGAACGGAATAGAATTGTCTCACAATATCCTTATCCGACATGCTCGCGGTAACTTGCACAACCCTCAATTTGCATGTACAGAACTCAAGGAGAGATAATGCCTCGTTATAAACCTATATCAAGCAAGTGATGACAGCAGTGTTAGCTTCCCTTTTAGCAATAACAAGGGGAGAGAAAATTATATCATACCCACATGATACTAATAGCTGGCAAAGTAAAATATATCAAAATAGTGGATATAAAAAAAAACATGTGTTTGCACTTCAATTGTCCAAAGGGGAATCTCCATCCATGCACCACTTCAGGTGCATTTTTCACCTATACCACTAAACTAATCAATGACATGTAGTCTGGTTCTACATGTCACTGAAATATGCTGATGATATGAAAAGTACATATCAAGTGGTGGTGCAGATGAAAATATTCATATCCAAATATAATCCAATCAGCTACTACATGCATGTTTCATAGTCCAAGAACTAAAGAAACCTTGCCATTGAATAGCATACAATTCATATGAATCATTATGTATCCAAGTGAGATGCAAACCATAACTACTACAGCTAGCATTGAAAAAATTACCCAAACTTAGTCATAGAATACACACAGAAAAGTAAGCTAAGGTTCACTACCTGCTGGCATAATTCTCGAGTAGGAACCAGGATGAAGGCATTTGGTGCAGGTTTTCGGATACGCCCTTCTGAGGACAACTTCAGTAGTTCGTGCAGAAGTGGGAGAAGGTAGGCAAAGGTCTTCCCAGAGCCAGTCTTGGCCTTTGCGACCACATCCTTCCCTTCCTGGAACCACAATGTTCAGCTGTTGACCAGAGGCCCAAATCACAGAAAACAAAAATTGTTGCACAAAAACTACTAGATAGCTATCCTACTGTACAATAAATAGGCCACATCAGTTTTTGCACCAGATCCTTCTTGTGTTGTGCTTGGCTAAAACTAAAGTTAGCATAGGATCATCTTTGATGACAAATAAATAGGGCATAACAATTTGTGCAGGGCAACTGGCACTAATCTCAGGAGTTCGCCGGAGAATGCAGGCTATTCAAATAATGCTACAGTTTGCAGTGTGCCCATGACCATCACACTCGTCAGAATTGAACTTCTTCCAAAAAAAGAGGGGCTGAAATTCCATATTTCCCGCATCATTTCCCACTAGTTTCTTACTACACCTAATAACATGGCAATGCTACAGAAATCGTTCGCAAACACCACCAGACCCAATCCTTGAAGCCGATTGGATTGCAGAGGCCGAAAATCCGAACAAAATTCGCACGAAGCAGAAAAGCAGCACGGTATAAGGAGCATGGAAGCCATAACCCACGCACCAGGATGAGCGGGATGGCTTCCCGCTGTATCGGGGTGGCCTTGGCCATGCCCTTCTTCCTCAAAGCCCTCTTCAGCTGTTCCTCCAGGCTAAGTTCATCGAAGCTCACCTCCACTTCCTCCTCTTCCTCCTTCCCCTCTTCTCTGCTGCATCCTCTCATCCTCACCAGTGGTGAATACTTCCTGCCCGGCCTCCTCCGATGTCTCCATCTCACTCTCAAGGCGGCGAGGAGGAAGAGGACGCGGCGGCGGCGCGGGCGCTAGCGAGGAGGAGGCGGCGGCGGCAGTGCGGGCGCAACCTCAAGTAGACTTGCAAGCAGCGCGGGCCGAGCCAACAGCCCGCCGGGCTAACCCGTCCGCAAGCCCGCTAAACGCCGCAATTGCAACCCAACAACCTAGACGGTTCTATGCGGGCCAGGCGGGCCAGCCCATGGATCCTGGTGGCGCCACACCACATTGGACCGCGTTAAAGATGGCAACGGGCAGAAAAAACCCGCTACCCGTGGGCACCCGACCCGGCCGGCGCGGATACGGGCGTGAATCTGTGCCCGCAGGCACGGGCACGGGTAGAGAGTTGTGCCCAACGGGCAAACCTACACAGGCAAGAAAATACCATGCCCGCACCTGCAAAACTGCCAAATCCGCACTGGCATGTGGGCCATAGCAGAAGCGATATATATACTTCAGTTTTAGGGTTTCTATCTCAACTTCCCAGTCCCCACTCCCCGGTTCCCCACCAGCGCCGCCGTCGCCCACATGCGACTCGTGAGTTCGCATCGGCAAGACCGCGACCCCGCATCAACGCCTCCCCATCGACCCCGCATCGAGCTCGCGCGCGTCGTGCCTCCGGGCTCCAGCCTCCCCACTCCCGCACAGTCCTCTGCCCGACGCCTCCTCCTCCACTCTCTGCTCCTCCGATGGACCGATGCCTCCTGCTCCTCCATTCCACGACGCCGATCGCCTCCCTGCTCCGACCCTGCCGCGCAGGCCGCCGTCTCTGCCCCACAGGCCGCCATCGTCTTCCTCGCCGCGCAGGGTCACCGTCTCCACCTCGTAGGCCGCCATCGTCTTCCACGCCGCAAGTTTTGGCGGGCATGCCCGCGGGCGAGCCTTGCCCGTGGATAGTAGGCACGGGGCACAGGTTGCTGCCCATGGCGGGTGGCGGTCGCGGGTGTGGGCATGTGATTTTCTCGCGGGCGCGGGCGTGCGAAGCCACTATCCGCGCGGATATTACCCGTTGCCATCTTTAGACCGCGTGGATGAACTGGTCAATGGGGGAAAATTGCAACGAGTGCCTTCTTCCTTTTGGTGAGCCCTTTTTCAACCGGTCAATCCTAAGATATATCTTTGGAATCAATAGAAGAAAAATTTACAATGGCAACCTACTGTGTGATGAAAACCGCCACTCAAAATAGCAGACTGTGTTAGTTTTGATGAAGAGATACATCAGATTCCTAGGATCATGGTCAAAATAATATGATTATGTGGTATTAATCTCTTATTGTAGGCTCGTAACTTGGTTTTTCTCTTTCTCTAGTCTAAATACATAGGAGGGTTGCATGTCATTTCATTAAGAGAGAGCAACTTAGGGTTTCTAAATTCTTTGGTTAGGTTATATCTTTGGCTAAATCTTGTCATGTTCGCCAGGTGCTCGAACGATATATTTCTATTATTGGATCCTTCGGACAGGGCATCGGCATCTTGCTCTACACAAAATCCTTACTTTGCATAAAACTGTTGTAGGTTGGCAAGAACCAGATGAAAAAGTACATTGATCTAACCTTTTTATAGCGATGTGCCAAGAAAAGTCATCTAGACCCACATGTCACACACATGATCACAAGATAACTAGATAAGCATACATCTATGATGACATAATATCGACACATCTTTATCCACCCGAGCTTGGGTTCGACCTTGCGTGAACACCACGTTAGCTCTCATCACTACGAGATTGCACAATAAACATGTACCCTTTGCATATCAATTTTAGCCTATCTTATTGTTCTATCCTCTAGCTAGTTTTATCTCTCCCCTGTCATGTAGGGTATGACGAATCGTGTCCACAACGTATAAGTATCATGTCCGCACGTATAAAAAAATTAGAAGCAAATGTGAGAAATAAGTAGTTTAGATGTGGTATTAAGAGGGATTATCTTTTTATATTGGCAATAGCCTTACGTCTGTGTTACTATATGTTTTTTTAAACAATTTACACTTCAAATATACTAGCTTTCACTGTGGGAATCATATAGGAGTGATTGGTTACTTGCACTAGTCTTAGTCTACACTATGCTTTATGTAGCAAAATCCAAGCCAAATGTATGCATGTTTGCCACATACAAGTTTTGTTTGGTAAAATTTTTGCTTAGTTGCAAACATCATGTTGCATGTTTGTCACATACTCATGTTTAGTAGTGGTGGATGGTGGTGGAAGGGAGGAGATTCCATTTTTTTTGTGGCCCATCGGTTTTTGCAAATCTTCATTGTCTAATAACAAATTTGACGTGCTATCTAATTCAGGTTGAGCACTATATAAATCTGCATAAGGATCTCTGCAGGTAACTAAACATGAATAAATTGTACTACACAAAGCCGAATGTAAGTTAATACAATCAATTAAAGGCAACCATATCTTATATTAACTGCATGATGTGAGACAAATTAAACTATTAATAAAGATTAGAATTGATGTGATCCAACGTTTGTTTAGTAACGGTCACCGCTCACCACCCCGACCTGCCAAAATAAACTCTTCGCAGCATCTTTGATCTGTACTACACCGCATGTGTGTCGTACGTCGTCGTTACATCGTGGAGCAGTCTTTCGCTTCGAGTCTACCTGCTATACAACCATGTGTTTTATGTAATTTTAATATATGATTTTTTTTTACTATAAGATTAAGATCTAACAGTCTCCATCATTCTTCTACTTTTATACAATTATAAGATCATAGATTCACATATCACAAATCACAAGAAATATTTTTTTTCTATAGAAGGACAAATCACAGATTCATCGCCGCCACCGCCACAGGTCGCGGTCGCTTCAGGTAGCCGCCGGCGCCCAGGCTGCTCGCCTCCGCCTTTGCCTCGCTCGACGCTCCTCCCATGCTGCTAGCCGTCCGCTCGCCGGAGCCGCATTCGCTCGCCCGCCGTGTCCGCTTGTTGGAGCCGCGCCATGGTCGCCCGCCGCGTCCACTCGCCGGAGCCGCGCCATGCTTGCCCGCCGTCACTCTGCCCGCTGCTAGCAGCGCTCAGCGTGCCGGTGTCGCGCTCGCTTCGACGGCCACCAAGCCCGCTTCCTTCGCTCCCGTCTTTGGTCTTTGGTTCTCCATTGCTGCGCGTCTTTCTCGCCGATGTCTTGCTGCCAAAGCAGCGCCGAAATGAAGCTCATGTGGTCACCGTGAGAAAGAGAGAGGGAGAGAAATAAAAAAATCCATGCGTTTCTTTTATGTTAAAACACATACGTATTGTATAGCATTTTGTTGGCTTCACTTCAAGGTCATGCACGAATTCCCATCCCGTTGCACATGCTGGCATAGTGGCATATGAACTCTCGGTTGGAAATGAGATTTCTATCTCACCGTCAAAAGCTACTAGTACCAATACAGGACAGCGACCGTTAAAATTAGTTTGACACTCCCCCAGGCCCCCGTGCCCTCTTTGAAACTTTTGAATCCCAGAAATTTCACAAAATCCAACTGAATTCATGCATCAGTTCGTCAGTTGAGCATGCGCCAGTGTCATGATGTCCCAAGCAGGTGTAAACCCTTTTCCCAAATCCCAAATAAAAGGAAATTGCCTGTAAAATTACTGCTACTCGTAGCTGTTTATTCCCCAATCTCTACCGTACCATGTTCTGAATTCCACTTTTAATTTAACTGCTAATTGATTGTAGATCAGTTGTTTGGATTTTTTTTTTGGTGGAATCTGTCCATTCGGATTTAAGTCCTCGATTTGACACGGGTGCTCGTATTTTTTCTGGATTTATTCTAAGATTTAACAGCGCTATGTTTTCAGTGATAGACGATGTCCCCGTCGATAGCGAGGTGTCTGTGGTGACTTCGTGAATCTCGAGATCTGCCGGATCAATCATTCGGAGATGCTCGTAGAGATAGGGTTTACGTACGTGTGTTTGTATGAGTGAGCGTGCGTACGTGTTGGACGTCTACATTGTGTTGTGTTATTTAAAAAATTTAACTGCTCGATTTTAGGTAGAGTTTTCGTACATGTATTTATATTGGTGAGCGTGCGCATGTGTTGGGCGTCTTGTGTTATGTAATTCTAAGGCCTTGTTTAGATTGCCTCAAAATTTCAGTTTTTTCACTATCTTCATCACATCAATTTTTAGACGCATGCATGGAGCATTAAATGTAGGTAAAAAAAATAACTAATTACATAGTTTGGTTGTAAATCTTGAGACGAATCTTTTGAGCCTAGTTAGTCCATGATTGAACAAAGTTTGTCAAATACAAACGAAACATTCTACAATGTCCAAATTACAAAAAACAAACGAAACGTGCTACAATGTTCAAATTACAAAAAAATTGCAATCTAAACTATGCCTAAAAATTTTAACTGCTCGATTTTTTTTACTGGTAGCTGGTAATGGTACACTGCCAGTACAAGGAGAGGAAGCAAAAAAAAAAAAAAAAAGGGCACCACATGCTACCCCAGATCTGGTTGGTACGATGCTTCCGTGAATGCGCCTACCCCGCGCACCTGCCCACTGAGACCCACCTAGGACCAACTGATGCCTCGGCCCCATGCCGTCCTGGCCCACTCGCCGGCGGCACGGCCGGGGTGGCAGCCTCGTGGGTGACTTCTGTTCTTGTCGGGGGTTAAAAAAAATGGCTGCCAACGGAGGCGCTGCCCACCACGTCTCGCGCTCTGATTGGCCCGACGTCGCATCCACCGCCACGTAGTACACCCTACGCCCCCCGCACTCCACTCTGCTGCCTAGCCTAGCCCTCCCTCCCACCGGATCCTCTGCGACCTGCGACAGGTGCAGCGTGGCAGTGGGTGTGCCGTGTGCGGGCGCGCAGAGGATCCGGGCGAGCTCAGCACTATACGTACGCACCGGCGCCGGGAGGGGACACCTGTCCCCCGCCGCACTCTGACCCCCGCCCCCCGCCGCGCGAGACGAGAGCGCCCGCACCAAGGCGAGCCGAGGCGGCGAGGCGAGTAGGCGAGCGGGACAGGTAGCGGTAGCGGCTGCCAGCGCCAGCCTTCGCCCACCCAACCCCACCACCACCACCACCACCACCACTAAGCCGAGGGCGGAGGAGACGCACAGCACAGTCCGGTCCCGTGCCTTCCAATTCGGTCGTCCCCACGCATCGATTGCGCCCGCGCACGCGCCCGGCGCTTGGCGCTTTGCCGTCTTCGACCACCCGCAAGCAACCTATATAGCGCGCCGCGAATTCCGTCCGGCTTCCTCGTCGCCCGCCGCGTCGTCGCGCCGCAGTGAGAGGAGGAGGAGGTCAGGAGGGCGATGGATCTCAAGGACGGCGAGAGGAGGGGGGTGGCGGGGCCGGGCCCGCTGTCGAGGCAGGGGTCGATCTACTCGCTCACGTTCGACGAATTCCAGAACACGCTCGGCGGGATGGGGGGAGGGCTCGGCAAGGAGTTCGGCTCCATGAACATGGACGAGCTGCTGCGGAGCATCTGGACGGCCGAGGAGAGCCAGGCCATAGCATCGGCCTCGGCCTCGGCGTCCGCGGCGGGGGCGGGGGCGGGGGCGGCCGGCGACGGCGGGGCGGCGCTGCAGAGGCAGGGGTCTCTCACCCTGCCGCGCACGCTCAGCGTCAAGACGGTGGACGAAATCTGGCGGGACTTCGTGCGAGAGGGGCCGCCGGGGACGGCGGCTGGCGGCGCGGAGCCGCAGCCCAACCGACAGCCGACCCTCGGGGAGATGACGCTGGAGGAGTTCCTGGTCAGGGCCGGGGTCGTCCGTGACAACCCTGCCGCGGCAGCTGCTGCTGCTGTCCCCGCGCAGCCGGTTGCTCCGCGGCCGATTCAGGCGGTAAATAATGGCGCCTCCATCTTCTTCGGCAACTTTGGGGGCGCCAATGACGCCGGGGCTGGAGCGATGGGGTTTGCGCCGGTGGGGATCGGGGATCAGGCCATGGGTAACGGGCTGATGCCTGGGGTGGCTGGGATGGCAGGTGGTGCGGTCACTGTGAATCCGGTGGATACGTCGGTGGCCCAGCTGGATTCTATGGGCAAGGGGAATGGGGATCTGTCATCGCTGATGGCTCCAGTGCCATACCCCTTTGAGGGAGTGATAAGGGGAAGGAGGAGCGGTGCGGGTGTGGAGAAGGTCGTGGAGCGGCGGCAGAGGAGGATGATCAAGAACAGGGAGTCTGCAGCTAGATCCCGTGCCCGTAAGCAGGTCACACCCTTGTCCTGAATTCTTGCATGTGTTGTATAAGTAGTACTAGCTATTTCCTATTGCAAGTTGCTGTTCTAAGATTCTGTATTACAAATTCTGGTAAATCAGCACATTGGCCTTGTATGCCCTGTCGAAAACGATGGATATTTGATAAGGTAGTAAGATAGAGGCACATCTGGCCTAGCATATCACATATGCAACTTCAACACATGACTTGTTGCTTTTGTCTGTTATGACCTGTAGGCTTATACAATGGAGTTGGAAGCTGAAGTTCAGAAACTGAAGGAACAAAACGCAGAGTTGCAGAAGAAGCAGGTATATACCATGCTGTACCATTTCTATACAGTTAAATAGTATTTTCTGTTACTTATCAGAAAGGGATTCTGATCGCATTTGCACGTCTGGCCCAATGCTAATTGCAGCAGTTATTTCACAGATTTTTGGTAAAATAACATGTTTAGTTCTTTAGTAAAGTATTTACAGTGATTTTTCCTTAAGGGTTGGAGGTTGGGTACAGAGGATTGTTCGCTTTGAATAGTTCTACTTTTAAAAAGCTAAATTCCTTGGTGAAGTACGTTTGAACAAGTGTTGTGTAGGATCTCTCTAAAACAATTCTTTTTTTTTTTTTTGCTGATTTTCACAATTGATATGAACACGAATAAATTGAAGAAAAACTTGAGAATATAAAATCGTTTTAAGAATTGAAGTGGATTTTTTATTCAAATGATCAAACATTTTAAAAGAAGTAGCACTCTGAAAAAAAACAGTTGCAGAGCTGGGCTTTAACTGAAGAACTTAGTTACGAAGTGAGATTAAAACATGAAATTTCTCTTTAAATATATATAGATCTTGAACTTCAGTATCTCTTGGAGTTGGAGTTCATTTTAGAACTTCAGCTATCATACAGTTTTATCGTGCTTTTTGTTGAACTTCTACATAGCTTTTAATTGTTAGCATGCTTTAGGTGCTGCACTTTCAATAGTACTTTGTCTGGAACAGTGGAACAACATGAGATTGCACATATGTGTCTTTGTTTCTCTTTCCACCAGGTAGACCTTGTCCCTTGTGTTCTGTCTACCGGCCCATCCGAATCCCAAATTTGCCTGAACTCCATCCATTTGAGTGAAGCAATAAAAAATGATGCACGGACCAACTTTTTGCCTCTTTAATATAATTTCAGAGAAGGGAAATATCGAGGGCCTATTTGGATAGGATCTGGGGCAAGTCCTCGGAATAGTTGGGGGGGGGGTGAAGTCCTATTTTGATGGTCTTATTCTATCCTCCAAAATAAATGGTCCACAATTGGTGGACGGTTTTGGATCAGGCACCCAGTGTGTCCAAGAGAGGTTTAAGCTCGCTGATCATGCTTGTTTGCTGGGAAATTTGGAAGGAACGGAATGCGAGGGTTTTTTAGCACAAAGAATCCACAAATGCGAGAGTGCTACAAAAGATTAAGGATGAGGCATGCCTGTGGGTCGCAGCGGGAGCAAAGCACCTTAAGCGACTACTCCGACATTTTTGAGTTTTTTTGCACTCGTACAATTTTTCATGTGCAGTTTTTTTTTTTTCTGTTTTGGCCTGCTAGCTTTGTTGTTGCTGTTGCAGCGGCTATTTTTTCTCTCTCTGTATAGTGCCTGTCAGGGCTTCCCTCCTTTTTAACATAACAGGCAGCTCTCCTGCCAGTTCGTTTAAAAAAAAAAATCTTCCAAAATAATCTCCCAAAGTAAAATGGACAAATCACCATTCACCGGTGCTGTTCTGCAAAGTTTGAACTATGGTGCTCTAATTACTAGTACTTGTTAATCGGGAATTTGGAATGAACATCAATTCTGAACATTGTTATGCCTTATTGAGTGGGGTAGATATATCTTTCAGTAAACATTCTTTGCCCTGCTGCATCTACGTTCAATATTCCTATCATTGTCATTCTTTATATGCATCTCTCTGTGGATGACATTAGCACAATATTGTCGGAGCTTCCTAATCTTGTTTGTTTTCTTGAATCGCAGGAAGAAATAATGGAGATGCAGAAAAACCAGGTAGATTTTTGTGTTAAACTTCCATTATTGATGTTCCTTTTTCATGGCACACTAAAGATGGATGCATTCCTGTTTTGAAATAGTGAATTTCAGTGTTTTTTCACTTATCCAATTGGAGAACTAATGGAAACTAGGTTGCTATGCTGATTTTTTTTTCAATATAGATGCATTCTTCCTGACATTGGTTTAACTGATGTGGTGGATTTATGTTTGCTTGTCTATCGTTGGATTTTCCGTGCATATAGAAAATGGTGTAGCTGTTGTATTACAAGTTTTAAAAATATGAACTCCATAAAAAATAATAGTGTTTGTCCAGGAAGTTGTATATATAGACTGTTTTTGCCTTAATTGACCGAAGTCAATCAATGTAACTTCATTACTAACTGGAATCTATCAGGGAGAACAAGACCGGTTATACATTTTAAAGGGGGATAGATAACTTGTAACTAAAAAGTGATCGTAAGACCATAAGACATGCATTTTAAAGGGGGCTAGGAACAGCAGTTTGGACTAATACCTTTATGCAAGGAAATACCTTGTACAGTTGGCGGGACTGAGCCTCCTCAGTTGTTGTATTTGAAGAGGAGAAAAACACCTCATCAGTTGTTACACCATAGGTATACCAAGTACCTGAGAGGTGGCTGCCTTTTGTGAGCCTTATGAATTATCATGCAATTCACATTATCATTGAATTTCACATTTGTAAGGTACTGATAACTGAGACCCACATGTCATCCATATGTGGTTCTGCTGGTTAAGGGTGATTGACTTTTATGCCAGACATACCAGCTCATGCCAATTAGTATAGTTGTCTGATAATATGTACAAGCTATATATGTGCAACTTCTTTATAATGACTTCAAAAAGTGTACCGTCTACCGTTACGATACAAGTGTAGTTCTCTGAAATTTGCGCAGCACTGTGTTTCAAATAACTAGTAAAAGTATCATATTCACAACTTCCATAGTGTTATGTTGTCCTTGAACACGCTAAATGAAAAAAAAAATCAGTCAAGTGTAGTGGACTTTGAGTTTTTAAACATTCTGTATTTCGAGATTCCGTAATACCATGAATGTAGATGTTAATTGCTCTCCTTATCATATGTCAGCTGTACCAAAAATTGTATAATGTTTGGTATGTTCCATGACACTGAATAAACGTTGGTCTACATTGGCCTTAGTTATAGCTTCTTCCTTCGCCCTCTTAGTTTATTAGGAGTATATGTTACACGATGTTCCAGTGTAGTCATCGAGAGTTTAGGTCACCTTTTGTTTTGTTCACCTGAAAATATTTTAATATCCCACTAACTTGAATACCTTATGCAGCTAGGAGGTTTGATATATCCATAAGCTTCTTACATGCATAAAGCTTTGGGTATATCACACGCTTTATTATGTTTTGCTGATTCTTAAAAATAGCAGTGCATGGTTTCGTCCATGTATCCTGGTAAGTGGTAAGGTTATGGTTATCACATTAACTAGAGTAACCTAGTTGTTTGGCTAGCAAACCTTGTGAATATAATTGGTCAGATGGGGCATGGCTCTCGCGTGGGCTGAGTGTGAAAGGCTGAAAGCCATATTCCATGACTGATACGATTGTGTGTGTTCTGTTTTTTTCAGTTTTTTTTTTCTTTCAATTCCATCTACTGTGCGAGTGTGCAGTAAGTTTACATGTGTCGGCTTTCTTTTCAAATCATCTGGTACATATATTTGCACATGATAAAGTTGTGTTATTTAGATAACTGATCACAAAACTTGTCTCCGAACAGGTCCTGGAAGTGGTCAGCAACCCATATGCACAAAAGAAGCGATGCCTGCGGAGAACATTGACAGGTCCCTGGTAACTGAGTTGTTGATGATCGGACTTGACAAGATATTTAACATTATGGTACTTGTACATATCTTCAGGATTTGGAGAACCCAAAATTCTGTTGTATATTAGCGATCAACAGAGTCGATTGTACCAGTGCTTAACTTTCTTATCCTGTCACTATGCCTCCTTGATTCAGTTCTGCAAGTCTGTTAGATTTATTTCACTTCTGCGCTCTTGTGCTCCTTTTACTCCCTGGTGAGCGACTAGTACCTTTGGGATTTCATAGGAAGATTTTTTTTTTGAAGGGCAGGCCTGGTGCAATGGTAAGAGCTGTCTCACTGAGTCATCAAGTTGCGGGTTCGAAGCAGCCTCTCCGTAGATTTTGCAGGGGAAGGTTTGTCTCGGTTTTTCTTCCTCAGACCGCACTCATGTGGGAGCATGGGGTCTGCCCTTTTTTTAGAATAGGAAGATAGACCGAATTTTTTATTTTTTTGCCTTTTTTTTGAAATTTTTTCACAAATATGTCCTTGGAGGTAAGATTTTAGAATCTGGACCCTTAGCTCGGTCCATCATTGCTGACGCTGAGCTTACACGTCTCGGCGCCAGCACCGAGCGTTGCTGGCGTCGAGCTCTTGAGCTCGAAGCAGACGTGGCGGTGATTTGACAGGCAGCTCCCATTAACCCTGGCGCCGAGCTCGGGGCAAGTAGATCTTGGCGCCGAGCTCGGCGCCAGGGTTACTGCCGTTAAGCCTGTCTTTTGTATGGGCCCTAATTCTTTCTCTCTTCCTCTCCCTCTCTCTCGCACCTCCCTCGCCTTGTTTGAGCAGCGCACCGCTACCGTTGCCCGCGCCCTCGCCCGTGCCTGGCCGCCCGCGCCTGTCGTGCCGGCCTCACCGAGTGGAGCGCCGGGCATCCCGCGGCCGCCGTGCGCCACCGTCGTCCTCAGCCACGCCATCGCCGGCTCGGCTCGTTGGCCTGACCCACGCTCGGCGTTCGCTGCGACTTCGTCAACGTCCGCGACTCCGTCGTCGGATAGATAAAAATTGTGAATTTGCAATGTGCGTACTTAGTTAGCTTTGATTGTAGTGTAGTAGTTTTGGCATTTGGTATTTACTGGTTAATGTGATGACTCAGGTAGTTGATTTAGTTGGTGATCTAGTGAGATAGATATGTAAATAGATAGAAACATAGATACATAGGTACATAGATATAGTTAGATAGTTATTTAGATAGGTAGTTATATATTTAGTTAACTAAATATGATCTAGCTATTTAGTGAGTACACTGTATCTATGTATGTAGTTATTATCTTATTTATTTAGTTTGTAGTTAGAAAATACTTGTTAGGTACTATCTATCGTCTAATTTGGACTAAAGGACATGTGTTTCGTTATGTGTTTAAAATAGATGGACAATCTAGTGACTATTTATCATGGAGGCACCGTTGAAAACGATCGCTATGGATATATTGAGTTTGTTGACATGCAAAGCGTGTCTGTGCTATTCAATGAGAAGCCATCGTTTAGTGAGATGGTTGCAAGGGTTCGGGAGGAGCTGCATTGCCTTAGCGAATAAGATGATGGTATTGCAGTTGAGGGTGTACTGCACCTAGGTTCTCCTCCCAACATCCTTAGGCGAATGATCCCAATTGGATGTGCGGATCAGTGGGAGAACTATATAAGATCGGTAATGAAGAGCCAGCTGCAATGTTTGGGCGTGGTTGTGCATCGAGTGTTAGTTGATCCCATCCCTCATAGGGTTTTCCCACCAATTGGTCGACATGCACACTTCGACCATCCGGTCCCGAAACCTAATATGGATGTGGAGATTGCACCTACGGTTCCCGATGCTCAATCTGCCCCCAATGAGGTAGTTGGAGATGCTTGTCAGACTCATGTTGTTGTGGCAGATCCTCCTCATGAGATCCCTTTGACACAGAATCATCCAAGTGTCTTAACCGCATGGTTCTTGGGAGCTTACCCCCTTCCTTACATCCATTTCTTTTATTCTTTTCTCATTTCTCTACTTATGTTGCAGGAGACATTCCTAAGAATGTGGATGTGTCCCCTGTTGCTGCGCAAGTGCAGTGTGGAGATGGATTCCGTGGTTCCAATAGTGTTGAAATTATGAATGATTCGGAGCCATATGGGATGGCAAGGGCTCTTGATTCTGATGATGATCGTCCTGTTGGAGAGCTGACAGAGAGTGATGTTGAGATGCTGAGGCGTATCTTTCCCGGCCGTCGTGATCCAAGAGTTCACGAGTTCAACGATCTTGCTCATTCCGATCAGGCGTGTGCAGAAAGATGTGATGATGAGCTCCAAGAAGCTCCTAAGGCTGGCCCTAACCTAGTAATTGAGAATGGGATGGTGTTCAAGGACCTCCCTGCATTGAAGAGGTGGTTGCAGACGTTTGCAGTGATACGAAAGAGACCTTACAAGGTCTTGTATTCATATGCGGAGCGCCGTTACACAGTTGTGTGTGACAAGAAACACTGCCCATGGAGGGTTTGTGCAAGAAAGTAAAAGGTCACTGGAAAGTGGAAGATCACAAAAGTTGTCGGACCACACAATTGTGCTGACCATGTGCCAGTTGGCTCGTCTACTAGTTGGCCGTCCCGAGGTTTTAGCTCCTCGTGAGTGGTTCCTAGGTCAGCCTCCACGTCGACAGCCGATGTGGGCGTACCTTTGGGACCAGGTTAGAGTTCCGCGCGCGAGGTTAGAGTGGGCGTAGATTGAATTCATGAACGAGCTAGACACGCTCACGGCGTCTAGTGTAAGTAAATTTTATTTCCCATACCGGTTTGAAATAGTTTATTATACCATCTAACATCTTGTTTCGACATGTTGCAGGTGTCGTGGGAGCCGTACGATGGAGAGGGAGCACTTCCTTTTCATTTTAGAAACATGTGTGGGTTCGACGACGACTTCTATAGGATGAGGTGCCCTCTAATCTATTTCTATGCTGTCGAGTTCCAACTGCCAGATAGAGTTGCACGCCAATTTGGTATGAGACAGCTTTGGCCAACGGCTCCGTTCTCGACTGGCGTTGACTTACACAAGTAAGTGTTTTGCTATTTCAAATGTCTCGTGATGGTCCATTTCTATTAATATGGTGACATGTACATGGATTCAAGTAACGATGACATACGTGCAGGTTGGATCGTCAGAAGAATAGAAAGATTTTTGACTGGGAGAAGCACCACCAGTTCTACATTGAGCAATGGGAGGAGATGCATAACAACGTGGACGAGAAGAACGAGCCGC